GACGAAAGACGAAAAACGAAGGACGAAAGACGAAAGACGAAAGACGAAAAACGAAAGACGAAAGACGAAAGACGAAAGACGACAGACGAAAGACGAAAGACGAAAGACGAAAGATGAAGACAATAGACGAAGACGAAAGACGAAGACGAAAGACGAAAGACGGAAGTCGAAGACAAAAGACAAACACGAAAACCGAAGACGAAAGACGAAGACCAATGACGAAGACGATGACCAAAGACAAAGACGAAAGGCGAAGACGAAAGATGAAGACGAAAGACGAATACGAAAGTCGATGACAAAAGACGAATACGATAGACGAAGACGAAAGACGAAGACAAGACGTTGACGAATGACGTAAACGATAGTCATGAGACGAAAGACGATGGCAAAAGACGAAGACGAAAGACGACGAAGAAAGACGAAGAGGAAAGACGAAGACGAAAGACGAAAGATGAAAAACGAAGACGAAAGACGAAAACGAAAGGCGAAGGCGAAAGACGAAGACGAAAGGCGAAGATAAGAGACGAAGATGAACACGATGAAGTGAGACGAAGACGAAGACGAAAAACAAAGACGAAAAATGACGACAAAAGCCAAAAAACGAAGACGAAAGACGAAGACGAAAGACGAAGACGAAAGATGAAGACGAAAGACGAATACGAAAGACGATGACAAAAGACGAATACGATAGACGAAGACGAAAGACGAAGACACGTCGTAGACGAAAGACGTAAACGATAGTCATGAGACGAAAGACGATGGCAAAAGACGAAGACGAAGGACAAAGACGAAAGACGAAGACGAAGACGAAAGACGAAAGACGAAAGACGAAAGACGAAAGACGAAAGATGAAAAACGAAGACGAAAGACGAAGACGAAGACGAAGACGAAGACGAAGACGAAAGACAAAGACGAAAGACGAAGACGAATGACGAAGACGAAGACGAAGACGAAAAATGAAGACGAAGACCATTTACGAAGGCGAAAACGAATACGAAAGACGAAGACGAAAGACAAGGACGAAAGAAGAGGACGAAAGACGAGGACGAAAGACGAAGACAAAGACGAAAAACGAAGACGAAAGACGAAGACGAAAGACGAAGACGAATGACGAAGACGAAAGACGAAGACGAAGGACGAAGACGAAAGTCGAACACCAAAGACGAACACGAAAGACGAACACGAAAGACGAAGACGAATGGCGAAGACGAAAGACGAAGACGAATGACCAAGACGAAAGACGAAGACGAAAGAGGAAAACAAAAGACGAAGACGAAAAACGAATAAGATAGACGATTACGAATGACAAACACGAAAGACGAAAACTAATGACGAAGGCGAAGGAGGATTACTGATTTCTTAAAACAATAACGTAAGATTGAATACGGAAAACCGAGAACGAAAAAATGGGATCAAATGAACGAAAATGTATAGACAAAAACATTTAAATGCAAGCGTAAGAACGAAAATCTAAAAATCAAATTGTAGAAGCGATAACGAAAAACGAAAAAACGAAAAAGAGAAAACGGAAACGTAAAAACCAAAACGATAAAATACGTTCCCCTTCAGCCCGTTCACAGTTTCAACGCCCTTCTCGCGATCGCATGTCGTGAATTTGCACGGGCTGGCAGTCAGGAAGGGCATTGGCAGCGGAAATTATTGGCCGTTTCCGAACGGCGCTTGTTTTGAAATACCACGTTTAGGAAACGCTCTAAAAGAACTTGAATTACTTCTTTGTTAACAGATGTTTTCGAGAAATTGCACCAAATTCTTTCGGGTGTGCGCATGCGAACGTGCGGTGTGATTACCTATTTTCTGAAAGTTCCCATGTGATTCTTTTGATTATTTGACATTTTCTCTGTGGCCGAAATGCCTGGAAATCATGGTTGCTATTCCTTTAGCAACATTATAAAATCAAATGTGTAGTTCATTTACCAATGGTAAATAATTTTCTTTTAATTGAGTTTTAATTTTTTTTATTTGTTTATTATCGCAACAACATCGTGTCATTAGCGACCACTATTGGACTTAACGTTATGGTAACTTTGAAGGTGATAAGATATGGTGATGAAAGGACGAACACAAATAAATACATTCCCAGGGCGGGAACCCGCGATCCTGTAGTTCGAGATCGCTTCGACACTACTGCCTTAACAATCCGGATGACTAACATCTACTTTTATTTGTAATTGAAGTGCATACAGTAAAAAACTGGAAGAGTCATTCTTCTGGCATTACATTGTTGGCCTCTCTCCTCTCTCTCATTCTCTCGCTCTCGTCTTTCTCTCCCTCATTCTCCCTCTCTCTCTCTCTCTCCCTCGCTCTCTCCTTCTCTCTCTCCCTCTCCCTCTCTCTTTCTCACCCTCTCTCTCTGTTCAAGCAGCTTATATTTATGACAATCTTTGGGAATCTTCCTTCTTTCATTCTTTAAAACATTCCTGCCATTTCTCTGGTTCTTTTTAACTTACTTTTTTATGTTTGTCTTTAATATTTTCCTTATGTCTTTATTTTTCTGTCGATCCTGTCTAGTACAGCCGATCAATCTTTGGTTGTCCCTTTGTTTCAGTATGCAGGTTTGTGATCCATATAATAGCACTGGTTTAGCTATCATGTTGTGTAATCTTAATTTGGTTTAATGTGCCATGTCCATATTTGAATTGTGATACTTGCTCTATTATTTCCCCTTCAATGAATATCTTCTCTCTTCTTAGTTCCTTTCCTTTGAATGCTTTTTTTTGTGATATGCAAACGGGACTATTTGTATAGTTTGTTTTTTGTTAAGTTGTCTACCTTGATTTACTGACTTGTTCATTTATTTGAATAGGCTGTTGGCATAAATATGGTAAAGGTTGGGTGGTAGGCCGCATCAAAATTTCATTCATGGTTTCCTGTAGAGTACAGTAAGACCTTAAGTATTTTTGTGATTGCTTAGTGTGTAACCTTAAGAATTCCATTCAATATTTTTTCCAGAGTTTTCTTCGAGGTTTCCTTGAAAATTTTGCAAGTTTGTTCCAAAGTTTTATGTATACATTTTTTATGTATAATTTGTTGTGTCAACTTCTCCAACGACTCCAAACCCCTTGACGGATGTTGAGGGCTTCGCGCTTTTAGGAGTAATTCTCCTTAAAGTGCTGCGCGGGAGTAATCCTCCATTAATCACATAGTCCGTCACGTCTCGTCTCAGTCAGTTGTCAAGAGGACCGCCAGATAGCATCCCCGCATACACGGTTCTTTAACGGGCTCCTGCATCACTACCATGCGGCCAGAATTAGGAAGGAATAAAGATAGGGGTAAGATTTAGGTCGCTTCACAGGGGTTGCACCTGTGAAGCATGTTTTCTTGAGATGTTTCCGAGTTTTCATTACCTCGCTGGCTGAAGCCAAGAACCTTTTTAACTTCTAGGAAAGAAAGGGAAATAAAGAGTTCAATGTACAAGCGAAGGCAAACTTTATTGGCTTGCCAATTCGTAATATGAATTAAAGGGGGAAACAAAGAGCAGGGTAGGGTGGCCGAGCCGTACCGTGCTGTGTCAGTGTCTGTGTTGCTCCTTTCGCAGCTAAAACATGAAAAACACGTTTATCGTTGTAACTGCAACAGATTGCCCTAGGAGGCTGGTTTTTTGCGAATCTGCATTTTGTATTCTCTTTCATCGCGAATATCGATTTGGTTGGGCGGTACTTTTCACCGCCTTATCCGTCTATATATCTTAAGATCTTATTTTCGAATTTTCGAAATCAATCCCTACGGACGGTCTTTCAAAGTGGGAAGGGATCGCCCAATCCCCGTCTCATTCTTTGTCCCCGCCAATTGTCGGACGAAGCAAAGGAACAGTCGAGTTAGGAACCTAGTAGCCCTTGCCCGTAAAACTCCAAAAGGAGACGTAAAATCATCAGAGGGACATTGTGAGGGAGCAGATGTCTTGCCCCGCAGCGTCGCCACGCGCCCACGGCAGCACAATTGCGGCCAATTAAATGTCCTGGAAAGTAAGTTGATCAGGGAAGAGGTTTCGTAACACCTATACACGGTCGAAATCTGTTGAGACTTCTAGAATCTGACGAGATAACCAAAGAGTCAAAGTTTCACACACGTGACGAGTCTTTGGGCCTCGTAAAGGACAGTGGATAGGAAGCGAGGAAGTAACGGGCAGAGAAACGAAAGAGACTTGCAAAAATGCACTTGAAAGAGGCAAACATATCTTGGTGACAAGATCAGCTGCAGGCGCAACTGGTCAGCGCCTGTCGGCTTATGCAATTTGACCGTCCATCATCAGACGAAATTCGGAATTAATTCCGTTCGACGGAGTGGTTTGACCGGCGTTAATAGAGCACTCAAAGGAGTGCGCAGTCCGTCGCATCGGCTGACGAAGTGCAGGGGGTGACATATGACGGCCCAATCTGTGAATTGCGGGTAGCGGAGAAGTCCTGGGCGAGTGCCAAGAAAGCACCAGACTCCTGTTCCGGTGCCGTCCATGGTGCAAAGACAGCTGCGATGCCACCCCAGGAACTGCCCAGCGAGACGACCCGTGTTCGAGCAATCCTTCGAGGTATTCAACTCATGGTCATCCTCACGTATGTTTGTCCATCTCCATACAGAGAAAGATTTTTGCATTTAAAGATACGAGTATGAAAGAAAATTTAGAATAGTCCAGTGAACAATTGTATTGAAAGTTTGATCTTGTGTCTTTCTATTTTAAAATAAACTTGTTCTCGCCTCTCGGGCAAGATGATAGTGTATGATTTAAATCAAAGTAGATTAAACCATATGCATCCATTCGACCCAGAGCGTCTGTCCCATGGGGTTCTCAATGCCAGCGCCAGATGATAGGTAAGTTGAACGCTTGATGCCCCCTCCCCCTCAAATACATTTAGTGTGCACGCCTGAAACCACCGACACACTCTCCAACAATCCGCTAACCTCCGACACCTCACCAAGAAGTGGATCTACTGAAATTCCCTTAAACTTTCTGTCACGCAGAGTTGTGAATGGAATGTTGAACTGTTTACTTGCTGCTCTTATGAAATGTCCTTCATTGATAATTATCATCGCCTGTTGCAGCTTTTCATCAGACCATCCTCCTTGGTTGTAGTCTCTTTCACATTCTAGGCATCTGAAGGAGAATATACTCTCTTGCAATATGTTAGCCAAAAGTAATACAAAGGGCTTGTGCCGATGACTGATCGGTGCGTGTGGCGTACGCAACCTAGTAGCGAATACTAGTTCGGAAAGTGTGTTTAAACACGTAAACCGTGAATTAAAATTACGCTGAAAAGATGACCAATCCACTGGTATGTCCATTGTTATTAATATCCATTGTTATTAAAATGTTACTTATATCGCTTTAAAGACATGATGAAATTAGAACAATTTTCTCTGAAATACACTTGCTTACTTCACAGCAAGCATAAGTGCGGAACTGGTCAGTGGCCGCATGTAGTTAAATCATTGCTCAATCGGAAAGAAAACAGCACACGAAACTTCGCTAGAGCGCGCTCTTTGGTCAGTCATTACCGACGTGATCGGGGCTACCCGCTGATCGGTGCCACTCTCCCCTAACTACGTTACTTTTGTCGTTGCATTACCTGAAGTGTTTAAAAGTGTGTCTTTCGTCGTGCTGGCTACTGCATTCCTGGACGATATACGTTATCAACCAAATACTCTTTACTCCGCGTCCTCCAGCAGCTAATGTTTTCAGTTTCACTACTCGTCCATGCACGATTTTTCTTAAACTTCCAGAAACTCATACTTATTGTTCCTACGGCGTTAAATGTTCAACGTTCTGAAGAACTTCTTTTAAACTAACATTTAAAATTCTGAAATAAATAACACAGAATACCGAAACCAAATATGACGCATCCGCGTAGTCTCTTCTCAACCTATTCTATCAATACAACTCTGTGCTGACTTTCCACTTTCTCCCCAAATGCTCAAATCGCGCAAGAACTTGGTGTGTTGCATGTTTTAGAAGTAAACGGTTATGATGTATAAATGTTAACAATACCTATTTGAAAACATTTTTCATCAATATGGTATATTGATTGAATCTTAGATTACCTACAAAGAAATATGAAACTGATTTGTGCGCTTATCAGAATTTCCCCCCCTACATTTCCTTCCTTCATACACAAATTGTTCCCCAATCTTATTGGATCACCAACTAATTCTGACTTTTATTTTCATTAATTTCAATGTACTACACAATAAAATTTATACTAATCGTGGGTACAATTATTTAATTTATTTTTACTTATTGTAAATAAGAGGAGTTGAAAGTGTTACATAATTATTTGGGGGTGAAGTGTTGAAGAACATGTTACCGGGGGGAAGGGGGTATTTAAAATGCTCCAAATTTAGGTTACATAATTTATGGATGGTCCTACAACACCTATAATTTTATATTAGTAATCAATAACAACTATAACTTTACATAACCATTACAAATAATATTATAAAGTCTGTGCACTGTTGAACCATCTCTAATATCATTAATACATCTTACCCCTTTTTGGGTGTGAGACCTTGAGATGTAGTATTCTTTCAATACCACTTGGCACTTTATCAATTGTGGAGATATAACCCAATTCAGAGCCTCTTCTTATCTCAGCTTATCTTTTCTACTCTATAACACTCAGCATCAAGTAATGACAGTTACAGTACATTACTGAAGTGAAAATGATTCTTGCATTCCTAGCATTCACAATTTTTGTCTTTCTCTTAACATTTTATGTAAAAGAAGACCCCCAGCCAATATTGGGTATATATAAACAACCAGGAAAATGGTTCCCTGTAAAATACATAATATTTCAGATAATCCTTAGAATTAGGAAAGTAAGTTATCATCTCAACCATTTGAATTGTCTATTTAAATATCTGTCCACATTATTATTTTATCAATAAATCTGCTATTATTATATTAGACATTTTTTCTTTGAAATATTATAAAACATTATATCTTACCTTCTTTATAATGATAAATTTCTTTCTTTTGTTCCAAGCTGAACACACGAAGAAAAGAACATGAAAGATCAGCTGGTTTTGGGGTGCAAAGTGGTCTCTCTATTAAAGAAATGGAATCATCTCAACCCCTTTCAAAACATCCTAAGGTACTGTTCTCTGATATTAATCTGATCAATATAAACAAAGGTCAATTTCTTTGCCCAATGTCCTAAAGCAAAAAATAGAATGAAATTATAAAAGTATATCTTTCTTCCTGCTTTATTTCAGGCATTTGATGCAGTATTCTTTATGGCTACTAATAAGGAAGGATTTTATTTTGTAGCAGGATCTGAAAGAAGGCAACATGGAATTATCAATGGTCTTTGCTACTTGCTTGTATGTAAAAGTTTTCAATTAACATTACCTTGTTAGGATTGTAAAAGAAAGTAATAGCTATAAGAATTGTTCAAGATATACTTTGTTAATCGTTTAACATTTGAAACTCATCATAGGTTCTTGGAAATAATAAAATTACAAGTTTTGTGTCAAAACATATACCAAACTTTTTTGATAATTAATAAGCTCTATGGATACCATCACCGTATTTGAACCAAATTATGAAATATGGAACTAACTGACATTTTTTCAAATTCAGACTTACTGCGATTTGTGAACTCTTTAAGTTTCATGCTCTGTCATTAAAAAAACAGAATTAACTTTACCTCCATTTATGAACAAAAGTCTCCACTACATTTTCTGAAGTAAAGATTCATATTTTACAAAGAGGAACTAGAAAATCGCTGTAATTTCATTTCACACATTGTAGGTTGAGAAATCTCTTACAAACCATAAAGAAATACAATTTTAAATTCTGACATTCACATATAAACATAAAATTTCGTGTAAGTTATCAAGACTTCACTTTTGACTGAAACTTTGAAAAAACTTTGAACATGTCCCAAATTCTATGCAATAAACTATTATAAATTAAATTAAATTTGCTGAATTTGGGTGAAATATTAGATAACTCCATACGGTATAACCAGTTCCATTTTATCTTGCATTACCCTCCAGGTTCCTAATATTGGGTTACTATGTAGTCCAAAGTTACCAGATACCATCTTATTTGGAGCAAAGAACAATGAATTTGGTGCAGAAGGTCTCCTCATCAAGCCCATTGAACCAATGAAAAAATGGAAAATCACATATCAAGGCAAAATGTAGTAAGTATAATTTGCCATAAATAACAACAATGTTAATTTAGTGCATAAATATTATATATTACATTCATATAATTAAAACTAGATAACTTATCATACTTAGGCGAACAGTAATTTTATTCTTAACTGTAATAAAAACGTAATAATAATAATATTTAATACTATAATTAGTTAATAATTATATGAATAATATAATTATTTAAGTCATTATTCCTCAACTTAATTTTTGATATTGTTTTACATTCTTAGCTTATCCACAGACTCCTCAAAAATATTTGATGTACAGATTGATGGAGACTGGTTTTCAAAACTGCCATACTTCAATTTCGACACTGACTTACATCCATCAGCATTGGCAAATGCAATAGCCAGAGAAACTTGGACAAAAGACTATTTTAATAATCTAAAAGAGTATGTATGTGACAAATATTATAAATTGCATTTTACGCTGTGTATCAAACAAAAATAAATCTTTAATGACTGGAATTAATTACATATAAGAAAACATTGTTCCTTTTTGATTCTAAAAGCATGTTTCACATTTTCTTGCCCCCTGGTTTTCGATAGGACGGAAGATTCTTTTGGATCAGTTAAATTTAATCATTCCTTTTTTTATTTTTAAAAATTTAAGAAACTCTAAAGACAGTCTAAAGATCGTGGAATAATTACTTTTTACTGAAATTTTTGAACTTGACAAACAAATTGGGTAAATGCTAAAAAATTTGTCTTAAAATAAAACAGAAAATTTAAAATAATCAGAATCTCATAGAAAATTGCATTGCTTTAGTAATTGACTCAGCAAAATATGTCCTAATGAGTTTTTGCAAGTTGCTAGTGATGCAAGTTAATCCCTAAAAATTAAAAGAAAACTATGTTGAAAATACCAGATTCTTTATTTTAAACTAGAGCAAAGTGTACACAATCTTATATCTGGTGTTCTTTTTGTGTTACACTTAAAGGTATGTGTTTGTGTGTTTTTTCTTTTCTTTTTTGTTTTTTGCCGTTATTGCTTAAAGTGTTCAATTTAAAACAATACTTTTAAATTGTTTTTGAATTCCATAGTTTTATATCCTGGAAAACATTAGCCACTATTAAGTAAAAAATTCAATCCTTACACTCAGTAAAACACAAATTTCCTTCATTGAAAGCAAACAATGCAATTCAATAGCTGCTCAGGTGTATGATAATTACATCATGATGATGGTGATCTATGTCTGTAGACATGCAAAAGCACAAGATGGGATCAACCATATTTCTAGTCTTTATCAATAATTTTATATCCCTAGACAATATGTTAATAAAATTTACTCAAACACGTGGAGATAATAGCATATATGGACAGACCATCATCATTGTAAATTTCAAAATGTATCTATAAGTAAGATATGTTATTTTTATTAGAAATTTGGCATGTACATGGAAATATGATATTTTATTACTTCAGGCTTTATGGGCCCTTCCAAATTTTCAGGGAGCCATTTGTGCATGCCTCTGCATATGGTGGATAATGAATTTCTAGAGGTTTTTTTATTGAGGTCTACATGCCTTATTTTTGTAAGCATTCCATTCCAATGGTTTACTGAAAATGTACTTAAGCCTCAAAGGTGCAAAAAAAAAATTTTTTTCAAAAAGCAACTTGCACAAATCTTTAAAATTGATAATAACTAATGCATGATAGGACACTACTCCTTTCCTGTTAAAACAAATAGTGAATTACCTTACTCCATAAAACAGTGTTCCTTTAAAAGAAAATAATATTTAAATAATTACCCTCTTATTATAAATATTGTTTGTTGAAACTTTTAGTCCACAAAAGTACTAGAAAAAGGAATATTCAATAGCTAATGTTCTTTCAATTTAAGGTTTATGAAATGATTACCCTAGCACTACCAGGGAGGGGGAAAGCAGAAGTCCACCAATGATTGTGTTTGTGTGTTTTTTTAAGTTGAAAATCATTAATTTTGTTAATGATGTGCTCATTTTTCAACATATGATACAATTTTCCAGTGTGCAGTATTAGTTAAAATTTTTATCTGTGGGTAAAATAAATTTATCTATTCTCTTGAAAACTGAAAATTCAGAATGAAAAAGATAATATTGTGGTATTTTAAGTCTTTGTGTAATATATTCTCATTCACTGGTATGTTGGCATGTTGTATACATTGGCAGTGACATAATATTTGGGCCCACAAGGCCTCCAACACATGCAGTCCTGAGTTAAAAAAAGGCCTTTTTTTTTGGCTGAAGGTTTTACGATTGTAAGAAATGCAAGCGCATGGTTTTGTCATGTCTACGTAGTAATCATAGGCTGATGAATATGAATTTCTTAAAGGATATTTTTATTATTTAAGATACTGACACTGCTTGTGTTTGCTCTACACTTTTATAAAGTGGGCCCAGATAAAAGTTTTGCGGACGGGCCCATACTCATTCCTTTACTTTACTGTACATTGGCCTAAACTAATTGGTTTCATCATTAACATCATCCTCAATTAGTAATGATTTTCCAGCAAAAACACTTGATGAATTCAAGTGTTTTTGCTGCTTCTTTTCAGTTTTCCTTACTCCCTCTTGTTTTTTGATCTAAAATTTAATGCCATTTACAGTACTCATTGTTTCTATGTTCTCCTCACATGTTTTCTTCATTTGCACTGGTGTTCTTTTATTTCTTGAGCTAAGTTTTCAGCTCATAGTTCTTTTCTAATTTATTAATTTTGAATTGTTTGATCTAAAAATGCCTTTAACAACTTCATGTAAGCTACTTCTATGCTTCTGGTTTCCTTTGGTCCCATTATCTATATTATTGCACCATACTTTATCATTAATTTTGATGTTATGTTACGAGTTCTCATAACAGTTTCTTTTCTCGTATATCCAAAATGACTCTTTAATATTCCGTTACTGCTTTTATATTTTTGTATTTTCATCCAATCCAATTGAATTTCCTATGTTTCTGTTCTCTGGCTGTAAGTCTTCATTTGATATTCTTTACATATTTTGCTTAATTCAAAGGCTGCTTTCTATCTGTCTTCACTGACTGTTATTAAGTTTGGTTGTCTGCAAATAATATTGACAATAATACTATCAATAATTTCTGGTTTCTTGTTACATTCAGTCCTGCTTGAGTTTTATCTTGGCTTGGACCAGGGGTGTTCAACTTGTGAAGCCTTAAGGGACACAACTATAACAATATGGTTGCGGGCCATATTTTCATTTCTTGGGTGATCCACACATGGCCCAGACTTGTTGATCTCGGCAGTTTGCCCGGCTGCTCTGAAACAGGAGAGGAGGGATTGGAACCATGCGTAATATCAGGCTGTACCATAATGCAGTGAATCCACTGGGATGATTTTCAAACTCTGAATTTACTAGCAAAAAATTCCTTAAATCCAAACTAATTTATTTTTACATTAAGGGAGTCTTGACCCCTAGAAGGCACGTGCACTAAGTGCAGAATGTTTTCACCCAAGATGGATACTAGGGACTTTCACGTTGACTAATAAGACTTCGCAGGCCACAAGAAACGACACTACGAGCCACATATGGCCTGTGGCTTGACAGTTGGACAACCCTAGCTTAGACTATCATTGACTCTCTTCTTCCGTGTTGTGCCTTCTTCGCTTTCAATTGCTATCATTCAATCCAGCTATGTACATTTTTGATGAAACATTCAGGCACTGCTTCTTCTCACAAAATTTCCCATAATTTCTGTCTTCACATTGTAGTAGGCATTCATTAGCATTAGATACATATATCATTGCAAATTTTTTCTTTCCAATTCCACAACTTGAAAATGAAACATGTTTTGGTTTAAATGAGTAAACATGATGATTAAACTAATTTAGCAAAATTATCTAATATAATACAACAGAATCAAAATTTATGCTGGGGATTCTTGGAGCCCCCCCCCCCCTTCCCCCCTCCATGAAACCTTTTACACCGAGAGATTGCAAGTTATAGAAAACACTAGGAGGAAATAGCAGAAGAGATAGGAAAGAGAATGCCAACCAAACTAATCTGTACTTCAATTTTTCTTCAAAAAAATTCTTGCAATTCAGTTAGAAGTGCAATATTTCGAGTAATAAAACAGAATAACACAATAATAATTTGAATTTGATTGCAGAGCACATCAAACACACTATGAGCAAATGGGATCCATGAAAGCAACAATTACAGTCCAAAATCAAACACATGACATTCAGATGCAAGCCTTCCGTGACCACAGCTATGGTTAGTTCATTTTGCTTGCATACATCTATAAAATATTTGTGTACTAATTGTTTTTAATTAATCTGCAGGAAAGAAACGAGATTGGGATTTAATGCATAGATACGCATTTCACATGATGTTTTTGGAAGATGGAACAATGGCCACAGTAGGAGTAATTTGCCAACCTTGCACTGGATCAGTGTAAGTTACAATTTTTTTCATTTTTAAGTTATTACACATTCTGCAAGAGTCACATCTATCTCATCATGGTGACTTTTCATTTGAATTTTAAGCCAACACTAACTAGCAAATTTTTGAAATTGAAATCAAATAAGTTAAATTATTAAAGATGGATAAAATTCATACTTTACATACCAACATGGTATCACAAAGTGAATGGCTAAAGCAGTACAAAAAGCTATGGTATAACCAGGAAGAAGAGTGACAAGACCAAGAAACTAACACAAGAGAGAAGATAAGGACAGAACTGAACCAAACAAAGAGAAGGACTCTTAGAACACTGCACAAACATTCAAATGGAGAAGCTGAAAAGGGCATTAAAAGTGGCATGTAACAGGAAATGCTTAAGCTCAGATAATATCAACATGGAACTAATGAAAAATGAAGGAAGACAATTAGAAGAAAAATACTGGAAACAATAAACAAAATTTGGAGGGAACTGACATATATATGTTTTAACAATCAAGTGGCAACAAAAAGTTGGAGGGCCTTTGGCCCGATAAATATGCGTGTATGAATATGAGAAAGTAAAATGTGAAAACTGCCAAGCTGCATTCTGATGCTAGACTTTGAGAAAGCATGACAGGGTAAATAGAAAACTGCTATGGAAAATCTTCAAAGATTGTATAGACATAAAAATTAAATTCCAACATCGGATTTGAGTTCAGCGACACCAGAAACCAAAATATCCAAATTATCAAATTTTTAAAAGTAAAATACTAAAAACTACACTGAAAAGTCCCTGAAAGACTGAAATATCAATTCAAACAAACACTGGAAATGCACTCTATCCCATTACTATTTAACTTAAACGTCATGATCAAAACACATAAGAAGGAAATACACGTAGGTAAGAAATGACTCGAAAATAAAGATAACTATATACATATTAGAAATAAATTAATTTGAGTAATATAACAGAATAACAAAATAATAATTTAAATTTGATTGTTAAGAACATCAAACTTACTATGAGCAAATGGTATTCATGAGCTGGATTGGAATACCATGCAGAAAATTACCACCATTTAAAGATGATTTACAAAGAGCAGCTTATAAGTTAAATAAGATCACAGAGGTATACAAAATGTAAACATCACTTACAAAAAACAAGTTTCTGATATTAGTGTAAAGAATATATATGCAACGGCGACGGCGACGGTGACAATGTTTATTTCACAGGCATTCAAATTATATTTTACAGGCATTCAAATTAACACATACTAATCCAGAAGTTAAAATGATACAAAAATAAAATAAATATCATACAATGATATTTACTCTACCTTCTTGAATCACTTGAAGTCGGTTAGCAGACAATTTTTAAGCAGTTTTACAATATTTTGATCTGAGATAAAAGGGATTTCATTGTCTACTATAACTTTATTTGCATGCTTGCACATTGGAGCATTACACCAATTGTTTGTGCAAGCAGTTGGCACTGAGAAGGTGTACTGGTTTCTTCTCAATTGGCACGTGTGCACATTCCATGATACCTTTGAAAATAACTCAACACAATCTAGGGCATTGTTGCATAGTTTGAATAAGATTGTGAAGTTGCCTATGTGACTCAAGAGAGCTTATGTTAACTATTTGTGCTATTTGAGTATAATTGTGGGTTACGAACAGAGATGGCAAGCCAAGTTTCCAAGCTGGAAAATGTAGGTACTTTTGTTGGACTGTTTGTAATTTATTTTTATACATATGTATAATGGAGACCACATTTGAGAACCGTACATCAAAATAGACCTTATTATAGTAAAATAAAGGATTTTGAGTTTTTCAAAAAAATGCACTACATTAAAAGCCCAGTAAATAAAATGTAACTTCAAATTAACTTTTCCCCATAGCACGTCACATGGTTTTTAGTTATTTTTTATGTAAATAAATAAATAAAAATGCTGGAAAGGTCAGGAACACATTGGAAGTAACTAAGGGAAAACTTAAAAAAAAAATAAAAAGAACATGCCAAATGGCCTAAACCTTATGTGTTCATGATGATAATGTTATAGAAGTAAACAGTTTCACTAGGCACATTAACAGTTATTTATCTTCATAATAATTCCCCAAGATTTCTACACATCTTATGACATCAAGGAGTTGAATGCCACCATCTTTGTGCAATTTGTTTGTGTGTACCACCTCTTGCCTGCATGTCACTTGCGTTGCAATGCCACCCCACATGCGTCACACACTAACAGTCACTATTTGTCATAGCTCCTTATGAAATTTGCAAGCATTTCTTGTATGAAGAACTACATATGACCAGTGGTCTTTTCCACATATGACCAGTGGTCTTCTCTTCCATCTCAGACCACTCATCTACACAGTGTCCCAATGTACACAGACATGACTCAGAGGCAGCATCCTATAGTTTCAAAAAGGGATTTCCAATGTGTATACTAAATTAAACACATTTCTGTTGCTATTTTGGAAGATGTAACATAGTTGTACTGTCATAGAAAAACCCTCATTCATCAAATAATTCTAATCTCTTCACATGTCAAACATAGCTTCAGCAATGACAAATCATACATTTTCTGCAACTGATATCTGAATTCTTCATAATGAGGTCAGTCTTCAAATTTTCCATATTGTACAATACAATTAGACAAGTAATATTATAGTTATACAATTTAGCATTTTGATAATTTATGACAGATTATCACTTTCAAAAGTAGTTTTTATAAGCAAAAACCTTATTTCTAAGATAATCATCATACTCACAGAATAACTTTTGGTATTCCTGTTATGTCCTAACATTCCTTGTCAGTAATATGTGATTTCATTCATAGACTGCAAACAGGCTATGCTTATACGCCAGAAGGCAAAGTTTATCCTTTGGAATGGTGTACTCTCAATTTATATGAGCATGGAGAAAGTGGTACACCACCAACAGATCATGGATTTCAATTCAAAGCAGGTATGAACAGTTCAGACAGAATTTCAATGAATATGGTATGTAATTACATTAATCATTTGTTTCTAATGTTAAAGGACCCACTACATACACCGTAGAAGTGCTGGTCCAATGTAAAAATGTTCATTATGTGGGTTGGAAATGGGAAGCAAGAATGGTTGAACGTTTTGTAAAATATAAAGTCAATGGTATTCCTGGAAGAGGAGTGTCAGAGTTTCATTACTACAATCCTGATGGGAGACCACAAAAATATGCTGCCAATGATCCTCAATGGTTTCAAGCAATAACATATTAATTGCTAATCAATATGAACATATTAAAATGAGTGTATTGTAGATGTGGTGGGATTTCAACAAAATAAAAAAAAAAAAAAACCTTTCTCAATTTATTATCTAAGAAGTGACTTTTTGGAAACAGCTTAAACTCAATAACATTATATACTCAGTAAATTTATCATATAATTGAACTTCACTTTTTTATAACATACATTTCCATAGACAAGTATTGTCCTTTGACACTAACTTTTTTATTAATTTAATTATTCCTTTCCAGTCTTTTATGTCCTCGGACAGAAATTTTTGGAGGGAGATTTTGTAAAACTATTGTTATTATCATTATCATTATTTGTTTTGTCATTTTCTTTTCATCTTTTTTTTTGGTCACATAATTTTTGCTGTACTACATACTACATAAACAAATCAAAAGGGCAAGAAAGTTAGGGTTGACATCTACAGCACAGAATATGTTCAACAATGCCTTTATGTACACCAAGTATCCTCAGTGATGGCAAACAGCCACGTTGATTAATTGAAAGTTTTCAATGCATGTTGTCTTGACACCATTCAAACCAAGACTCTCTGGAAAATTCTGTCAATTTATACTTTTACAAAATCAGTTCTTACATAGCAAACTAGTCAACAAATACAATTACTTTAAATTAATAGGTAATTTTTTGTCCTTTTTGAAACTTTAATTTTTTTTTTTTCTTTCTCCAAACAGGCAGTTACAATTTTTATAAATTGTACACATCCCTCACACAAACTTTTAGCCTTCAATTTCATTGCAATTATTTTCTTTGAAACTGTAATTACAAACTAAACTTATCTGGAACAGAAGAGTTCCCTTCATGCATGAATTGGTAAAACCTTTCTTAGTAAGTCATATTCTTCTAGTTTAATTCCACCAACAGCAAATCTTTCAGACACAGTCACTTACATCCTCACTCCCCATGAAGCATTTGTGAGAGAAAAAGATAGGTTCAAAAGTCGCACTACAGCCTAGTATAACAAAGAAAAATTAACAAACTCACTGAAGTTTCTAATGTTCAAACACATTTGAAAACAGATGACCACAGTTGATCTAAATGACTATCTTAAAATTATTTAAATAAACAAAAAGAATCAACACAACATATATGGAGAAAACTAAGCATTTTAGAAAAATGTAAGATGCCTGCCAAATGTAAATGTATCTACAGAAAAAACTAGTTGGTAGATGATCCTAATTGCTGCAAGCAGGTAAACCAGGAAAAATCACTAACAAAATCATGTGACATGGTGGGCCATTGCTAAGTTTCCTTCCACATACATACCTCAACATAATACAGTGAAACTTGTATTACAACCACTTGTTGATTCCTTCAAAAAAGGAGTCTTTTAGAGGAGGTGCGGGTGATTTTATTACACAAAAATGGTCTATTGTTACTAGACATTGGACGTTTAGGAAAGTGCCTGATATATCAGATGAAAGGTTCTTTTATATTTAAACATGAAAGATGAAAAATTATACATTTCAACAGTTTTATTTTGTCCTCTTGGTATAAATGCCTTTTTAGACTTATTTACTATCTTTTTAAATGCACATATTTATATCACATCATGGTTAAAAATAAACATTTAAATTATTTTTCATTTTAGTACTCTCAATAGCTTTCTACCAGTGTTGTACCTCCAGTTTCTTGTGTACACTCAACCTGTCATTTGGGTAGGCATAACACACTATGTCTTGTACGCTCAAAATCTTGTTTTTCTTGCACTTCTTCTCACAATTTAAAAAAAAATCAAGGATTTCAATGGGACTTTAGCGAGTGCCGAGCTCAGATTCCAGACTCAACCTAAAAACTCACAGGTTATGAGGCCAGTCTACAAACTCGACTTCTGCTATTGATATTCTCCTGCACTAATAGTCTTCCAGGAAGGTAAGGTAAGAAAGTCTGTTAATTCACTGAATTAAACTTTAGGTCACTTTCATAACAACTGTTACATTAAAAGAATAAAACAAAAATGGGGCGATTATAACAATTTCTGAGTCTTTATAACAATCATTGAGAAAGATTTATTACTATTTGATTCCAGAACCCTCCTCCAATTTTCTTGAGAATGAAGCTACGGTACAGGACATGTCACGCAAATGATTTTTACAATGTCGCATTTCCATTTCAAAGAATCTTGAATACTGAAAATTCAGTGTACAGAATTCTTACAATTTTGCTGAAAGTAGTCTCTTCAAAGGGGGAAATAAAGAAAATTGCAAGTAAGATATTGGTCGGAGGTTGGGGAAAGAGGGGGTGTCTCAATAGGAATATAATTTGTATACAATAAATCGGTTTCAGTGTTAGTTTAGAGCAAAATCTGTCATTGAGAGGGGTGGTCTTTCAGAAGTTTCATTGCACCTGTTGCCATTGCTGGAATAATCACCTGCACCCATTAGCTGCCATCTCGAGTTGGATAATGCCCATGAATTAGTAGTTTTCATTAAAAGCCTGCGAAGTATTCCGTATCTCCCATTAGTCTGAAAAGAAATGTATCTTGAGAAAGATACGTTCTCCATCCACACTTTTTGCATATCCTCACAGGTAAGCAATACTGGCAAAGGAAAATGTTCAAAGAAACATTTTCAGTTCTCTGCAACAAATGGAACCATAAAATCAAAATACAAAAATTGAAATAAAATTCCCAACACTTTGCTTGATTTTAAGCAGTAAGCAATGGCATTGTGGAAATGAACAGTACTATCTTGTCGTTCTGAACATACCTCATTAATTCCCTGTTCTCCTACATTCAATTTCACTTACTGAGTATCTGACTCTCTCAGCTTATATGAGGCATTAGATATAAATAGGGAACGGATTCATTTGTATTTACATATATTTACGATAACTACAAAACTTAATTTTTCAACTGCATATTTGTTTCAAGATATTGTGGGTCAAATAAGGTCTATTTTTATATATTTCGGTATAAACACATATTTTATCTTTACTCCTTTAAATTTCCCCATATACATACATATATACAGAGTAATATGTGTAGTATAGGTAAAGTTATGTAATGCTTTAGAAAATCCATTTCGAGATTTCAACAGAAATACATGTTTTGGGGTCTCCTGATAACGAAAGATTTTTTTCTTCTTTTTTCAAAACATCAGTCACACTGTCCGTCTGTCTGTGAACACCTCTGGCGCCTAAACCATATGTAGGAGATTTTCCAGATTGCATATTCCGTGTTCAATCAGGCACAACTTGAGGTGCTGCAATTTTGAAAAACTTTCTTCAAAATTTAGGGCTACTTTGCATGCAGCACTCTGGATATTTTCAAAATTTTCTCAAAAACGGCTCCAAATTTTTTCTTCAAATTTCTTGCCAAAATCGAGAAAAATAGGTGGCATAGGTCCGATTTTCACAGTTAACTCTTAATTTTCAAAAATGTCAAAATTTTGAAATTTTATGGTCATCTTCCTAGAACTACAAAATTGAAGATAGAGATTTTTCAAATACAATTTGTTCTCTGTAGTGAGTTCTTTCATTAAGATCGTGTACATTTTTTTGAAAATGTAAGTATTTTTGTGCAATATTGCAATTTTAAACAAATATAAAAACAACATTTTCTCAAAATCAGGTCCAAATTTTTTCTTTAAACTTTTGGTAAGAATAGTGCTAAATGCATTAAACAATATGACATTAACACCATATTGCCCTCTATATATTTTTTTTAATTCAAAAATTTAATTTTTTTGAAGTGTCTCTCACTTCATTAATATTTATATTAGTAACAATTTGTTCACATTATTGTATTAATGAGTATATGTGCTTTAAATAATATTAATAAAGTTTCTCGAAAACTCAAATGTTTTCTGTGAAAACTAGCTCAAAATTTTAGCAATTTCTCAAAAACATCTACAATTTTTTTCTTCAAACTTTTCGAACGAATAGTGCTAATTGCATTCTTTAATACAACGTTCAGTTCATTTCGGGGTATTGTTTTGTTTCTTCAAATATTACACAATGGAATGTTTTCAAAAGAACTCTCGTGTCCTTAATTTGCACATTTTCAGCACTTTGGAAACACTATTGTATTTGTGAGTTTATAGTGCTTGAAATGACTTCCAGTGAAGTTTTTCGAAAACTCAAACATTTTCTGTGAAACAGGGTTTCACTTTTCTAATTGACAGTAGAGCTTAAGTGCCATTTTCTTAAAAATGGCTTCAAATTTTCAAAGAAAATTGCCATTTAGGACGATGCTTTACTGTTCATTAATATTCTTAAAATAATATTTCCATTTTACCATTAGGAAACCAAAAAAAGAAAGGAAAATAAAAGAAAAGGAAAAAAGAGGGAAAAAAATGGACTGCAATATATGCCAGCAGGCAAGAGTACGTGGCAAGTTCTTATAGCAAGCTGAAACCGAAGGAAATATAAAACTAATATGGGAAAGTCTGTGCGCCATTCTGTAGCACCACTAGTTTTAACATATTTGGTATATCTTTGTGGTTCAATGCCTTTCCTATGTCTAAATAGTGTATGAAACAAAAAATTGTTGTTATTTTTTTCTGGTGATGCTCCTTAGATGGTGAAGACAGTGAAGTCACTGCAGGTTTTTTATTAAAAAACAATTTATCTAACCTGCTTGGCTCTTGCACTTCATATGAGTTGTGGAAGCTGTGATCAGTCATCTTCCTAATGTTGATGCATTGATACTGTTGGTAAAAAAAAAGTTTTTCAGAGCTCAAAGCCTCAAGAAAATTTGTAAGGCATGGTATCCAGTTCTGTGTTTGTCACCCCAGTAATTAGAAAACATGGTTAGAAATGGCACAATACTGCTGCAAACGTTTCAGTCAAAAACTCATACATGAGGTTATATTAAAACTTGATTCTGATTCAACTACAGTAGTAATGAACAAATCTTGGGTGGTTAATCCCAGTTTGAAGAATGACATGCTTACATGTTAAATGTAAGAGTTTTTTGACAACTGCAATAATAAAATTGGATACTTGGAACATCTCTTTATTGGAAAGCATTTCTGTTGTCAATGATACGTTCCAAAAACTACAAACAGTACAAGGAGAGAAAGGAAGTGAAGTGAAATGAAAGAAAGAAAAAAAAAAAAGACAATTTGGAGATATCTCCTGGATGAAAAGGCGTGCAAAGGATTTCAGACATCAATTGTGAAAAAGTTATTAATGGAACCTTTAGAGGTTTCGTTAAGTCCAACAGAAATAACTTTCCAGAAATATACCTGTTACCTCAGTAGATGTGGAATAATCAATCAGCAACTACGAATCTATTTTAAGCTCTGATTGGCATCAACTTTCATTTTAGAAATTAAAATTTCATTTAATAATTTGACTGTATTGATTCATCAAAAAATAAAATAATATGAACAAATTATTTTATACATATATTTTACAAAACAAAAACATATGTATTTTCCCCTTTTAATTTCATAAAAATCCACTCGTTATAAATAATATCACCTACATGACAATGGTATATGAATCTTGTATCTGAGGTGGCTTAGAAACTCAAATATGTCTTAAGTTGAAACAAGACTTCATCCTGTCCAAGGAGTTCAAATCAGTTATTCAAAATATAACTGAAGTTCCCTTCAAAGAGTCATTCAATTCAAATTTTTAGAGAAAGGATCTAATTTACTAATGAATGAATCATTTATGAAATAGTTGAGTAACTAAATACACAGAGAAAAATAATTTTGTACATCTTTGAATAACTTTCCAGTCAGGATGAAATGAAAGGAAACAGAAGAAAAAGATGACCAGTACAAATACATTTTATTTACATTAAGTTCAGACTTATGAGACATAAATAATGATTGTTTTGTAACATAGTCACAATTCAGTAACAATACATTCATTAGAGTATATACTTAAAGATAGGTACATAAAAATATTGTAATGAAGCAATTACCTAATTCACTTTAAACTCTAAAATGTTCTTCAAAACTTACATACTCTGATGTTAGTGCTTTCCATCAGAGCAAAGCCTCTGCTGTCTGACAAGTCTTATATATTTCACACAAATACACATCAGAATTATTCACAATCTGTACTCTTGCTTTCTCTCATCTTTTAAATTACTAAGAATCTAATGAAATAAAAATAAATCCCAAAAGAGCAACAATGTTAATAACTACCTTTTTTTTCAAATTTTTATTAAGACCCAGCCAATACCAATACATCTGGATTTAATTCCATCATCTACTTGCAAGAACTGCAACAACCCTGTTTTTCACAGTTTCCATTGTGCAAACAGGCAATATAGTTTATATTCAATAGAATGTTTTAGAAAGATCTCAAAAGATTCATCAATCCACATTACACAACTCATACAATCCATTTTTTGCTTGCACATTACGCCTACAGATTAATTAACAATGCATTAGTGTTCTGCTTTTAAATATTACATTCTACAACACAGAATTCTTTAATTATCCTCGTTTGCCTTAAATACATGTCCATGAACTTGTGTATATGGTACACAACTAGACTATGATCTAACCACACACTACATGAAAATTTATGTATTTATTTGCTTAAGAAATGATCCCTCTATCAGTCAGAAAATACATTTTACTTGTCAGGGAGAGAAATCCAAGTGATTTCCAACTTGACAGCACATTATTATCACTCTCAAATGGTTCTCACTAATCTCTTGTTTAACATTTCTTCGACAACAGCCATGGTTATACAACAGTACTGCCCACTACAACAGCAACACAACGTTGTCAAGTGTTATAAAGCTAGCATGAACAAATGTTACCAATTCAATTGATAACAATTTTGCTCTCACAACTTCTAGATTTTTGAAGATAGGAATGTGACTAATGTATAAAATGAATTTGCCATAATATATCATGATTTACACAATTATATTTATATAGAGACAAAAGCTGGTGAAGTATGTTTTTCTCAATGATAAAAATTGGCATGCATGGAGCACTGACTTTCAAAACAGTGCCTACTTTGTGAAATTTCTGAAAGGCAATTTTTTCAGTCTATGAGACTTCAAGTTTGTTAATTTTTTCAGTACAGATTTTGCCAAACTAAACATGTATTCTCTATAATCAATTATATGTCTATGCTCTGCTTTCTGCCTGAAACAACAATTGCCTGATAGAGCTCAATTGAAGGTAATAGCATTTTTCTCAGTCATTCATAACTTGATCTAAACTTCTAAGAGCTTACAAAACATGTACTTTAATAACATGTACTTAAACAGCATTAGGCATACTTCAGTGAAACAATGTGCATGTATGTAAAACTTGTTAATATTTATACAGATCCTCTCACTTTTATGATACATTTAAGCTCTGCACAAAGTATGCTTGTTTTTAATGTGCAAACAAAGTTGGTAGGAGATCAATGCAAGAAACTGGTCAAACAGCAGGAAAGAAATACTGTCATTAAAGTAATCAACATTTATATACTGATTAAAGAAAATAGTTAACATATTCTATAACAATCACATTTTATCCAGTGGTGTAGTTATGATTAATTCAACGCAGACTGTGAGAAGGCGTTGTACAAAAGAGTTGTATTAAACAAACGCTACTATTTCTAAAATTGAAGATCAAATAAATATACTTGGAAAACAAAATTAAAATTATTTATTTAAATTCTGTAGGTTGTTTCTTGACATGACAAATCATGAACATTACACAAATGTTATGCATTTTTTATTGAAATAGTAGGGAACCAAAATGGTTAGGAATAGAAACACTATGACCTTACACTGGTTCAGCCACTTGGACGAATATATGTATATCTTAGAAAATAAATGACCAGAAAAGACAACAAATATTCTTATTAGTCACGTGCAATGCCAATGATTGTGAGAAGGTACAGAAAGATATTAATAACATCCAAATACAAGCTCAATGCAGCAAAGATGTATTCTTCTGGGGAGATCGAGTACTTGTGTTTTCCTCCCATCATCATCTGGGTGTCATAAACAAGATACACACAGAAAACAAGTGCACCAAGAGATGCATAGACCAAGGTAAGTGTCTTGCTACCAGGGAGTATAGCTGCAACAATACCAAACAGGAACAATATGATTACAGCAACAAATAGAACCCCACCCATTACAGTGAAGTCCCATTTGGTTTGGAAAGCAAAGAGGGTTAGTCCAAAGCACACAGCTGCACAAAGTCCAACAGCCATCAGAACCTGAAACAACACAATAACTAAATAAGTAAACAGAATGAAGCAAATTTATTTTAAAAAATGCAATAGGAAACCAACAATTCTGATTATACTAACCAAATAATTTACACTACTGAATGTGAATCAATGTTTCTTTGTAAATCGTAGAATATTTATAGGTCATGCACAAAATTACATACTGCAACAAGTTTTATAATGCTACAGCAAAGTGGAAACTTCCAAAATGAAACATAGTTGCTCGATCATTTATGTAAAATTTCAAAGGATTTTTTAAAATGAAATTTGTCTTTCATAACTAGATTTTTAAATTATATGTTAATGTATTACATTTTTTGAAAATGTAAGTAGTTGTCATCGAATTTTGGGTGAAATAAAGGAGAGAAAAGAGAAAAAAATCTGGTTTTTCACACTCAATACTTTTAATATCGAAGCTAGAAATTTCTCCTATAAATCAACATCAATATGCAGAAGCAAACTCATACCTATCACTTATAATTTTCTTCATATTTAAAAAAACTTAATTGCACAATAACTAAAACATTCATAAATTTTCTAGGAATAATTGGTTAAAATCTCGAGATCTAAGATAAAACCAATTGCAGCTATCATGTAAACATATGAAACATTTCTTTTCACAACCGATCAACATACTGACGAAACAAGGTATTTTATTAGAATGCCAGGCTAAAGAATCAGGTAAACTGAGGTAAAATTAGGTAAGTTGACAATACTGTTATGGGCTTTTTGCAAAAATCATGAACTAAACAATTAATTTTTACAGGAGGAATTTTGCTGAGGAAACCATTCAACATTAAACTCTCGAATTTTTAGTTAACAATTTTTTTCATCAACATCACTGCAGTTTCCACATTTTCTGAATGATATGCCTTCTAGGGATAATCTTGCTTTTCTCCAAGCTTCAAAACTTGCCTTTACGAATGAGACAGATTTGAAAGAATTTCTTGAAGGTACTTTTTGCCAAAAGTAGTAGCTAAAATACCCTATTCTGGAACTTTTGCCAAAATCATTAATATTAAACTTAATTTGTGAAGTAACAGTAACTGCTAAGAAATTGAAATTTTGTATTCAGAAATAACTTTGTGTTGATATATTGTAATCAAAGTACCGCTTTTCTTACTTCATTATTGAGGATGCTATTTAATGATGACCAACAAACCACTATATCTAAAAAAACAACAGATGCTTAATTTCACACAACTTCCTTTAAAATGTGCGAGATTAAGCATACAAAATTTAATCAAAATCCGTGATCTCATGGGGTATATGTCCAAAATTAGACCACCTGACATAGAGTGGTCCAGATATATAAGTGGAACAGAGGAAGTAGGGGCAACTCTAGCAAGGAATACATAGGAACCTCTTATATAGGAAGGTAATTAAGAATTACGATATTACAATATTTCAAAAATATACTGCTGTAATTCGCTTTGTACACAGTACTATTGTGATATTGTGTATAGGGAAGAGATGGCTCATTACTGTTATCATTACCACTTCTTAGTAACCAGGTGCATGTTGCCTTTTAGGTATGTCACACTGACAGAGAGAAATGGTTCATTCTTCATGTACTACAACACACATTGGTAGAGACAAGTCACACACACACGCACACACACGCACGCACACGCACGCACACACACGCACGCACACACACAAAAACACCACTGACCACTAAACTAAAAATCTTGCAGTAAGACAACAAATGAAAATTCTAAGTTTTGAGTTAAAAAACATTTTAAAGTTGAAATTGCACTGAAAATGTCAGTTAACATCACTTGAAATTTATGGCATAACAGCAAAAAATTAATAATATATTTCAAATTCAAGTCTACTAATCTATAAACCTAGAATTTGGAGTTGTTGCCTCCTGGTACTGGGCTGCTGATATAGAGTATGTGTACCGCCAATTTGTTAAAGATTTGATATTGTGAATTACTCACTGCATCTGGATTGTAAGTGCTGGAAATAACTCCAAGAATCAAACTTTCTGCTAACGTGAAGACAAACAGAAAGATGAAATTCATAGGAGCCTTTCGGCGGACGTTAGTGCAGCAGGACATGGCAATAAGCGTCACCAAAACAATAACAAATGCAATCCACACCATCTCAGGATGTCCCCTCACATAATTCTTGGTTCCATTATGAAAGGTGAAGAGAGCAATAAAACTCAGTGAAACGAGCAGTTGAAGCATGAGGATGCTGTACACCTTCCTGTAAGTTAAAAAATACAAATTAAAACTATGTACAACTCATAAAATTATTTTCCTTGAAGTCGCAACACAATTGAACTGTTAATGAACAACCTATGATAGAATACTTGTAAATTATGACTTTTGGTGAATACCGTTTTGTGTAGTCATGACTAACTTGCAGCAATTTTCAATTTCAAAACACTCCCCAGAGGCACTGCTAGATACAATTAAGTTGTGCAGTAAAATACAGGCACAATTCACAAAACAACATTTTTACAGGAGACAAGGATTTCTGAAAGCCTATTTATAGTGAAACACTGATACCTTATACTAATTTTGTGAATTGGATCACGAGTTTCATGGATTATTGGATATGTTATTAAACTATTGTGTGAAATGCTCTTTTTATTCATTGTTTTTTATCCCAAAGAAAGGAAATATATACAAACGACACAGTGACATGGACCCTAAATAATAAAACACTAAATAAAATAATATGAAGTTTAAGTTAACCACTGTTGAAATGAAGGTTATAACACAGTTTGAACGATTAAATACATTAATATTTAACACCATAGGAAAAATAATCCGTTATATTACATTTTCTTCATAAAATCTTCAGTAATATCTTCTACCTAAGTATCTAAATCTCCTATTCTTGGTCTTCTACTTCAATCTTATACACAGTGACATTACTTCTTACATTATTGTAGAAAGAAGCATAAATTGATAATATTATACGCACAAGTTTCCCTGAAACCCGGAATACCTACCGCCACTCCTTTACTGACATTAGTTGAATTAAGAATAAATATTAGTGACGAGCGCTGTTGACAAAACGTAATTACCAAACTCCGTGCTCACTTATGAGAACTATTTTTCATTAAAAAACCAGCTACAGATTTTATACAAGTCCTGTTGTTAATATAATGAACACCAACTCTTCTTGCTTCTAGCGAAAAGAAGGTTCAAAAAAACAAGTGTGGATAATACAAACTACAAGAAATACCGCAAATTATGGAATTATGTTGCTTTTATTTTTCATCTATTGGGATATTTAATGTGCAAAACACATTAATTAACAGCTTGGAAATGGTCACACCTCTACAAACTTAATTTGAAAGGTTTTTCGTTTAGATCATAACAGGAAATATTTTATGTAAACACTATTCCATATTTACTACTAAGTGTAGGTTTCCTTCACAAGACTCCTTAACCTCAACACGTGCCAGCAATTTTGGAAAATAGGTAGGCCAATTCAGAACTGTATTCTCATTGTTTTTAGTGATTTCAGCCGACTTGTAAGAAACGTCATCACTAGCCACTAGGGTTACAAGACAATTAGAATTGCATGTGCCCTTTTCCCATAAGACATTTGTAATGTTCAGAATCTCCAGATTTTGTGAATGCACCTTGATGAAAAATAGGCTCAAACTTATATGCAAATTGTATTGGAATCGATCCAAGATGATATAAGCTACTTAATCATGACAAAAACTTAAAATTAATAGATATGTGACAAGTGCCTGTTTTTCACTGGGCCACAATTCTTAGGAAATAAAAGTATGCATTTGCCCGTTGTAATAAGTCTGTGTCATTAGACATGTACAGTGCATATTGCAGTCTACATTTTGGAAGTTTACTCTTTCCAGTTACTTCTTTAAAAGTACAGTGATGTGCAGAACATTTGCTTATTGTAACATGGATGACAATGTGAGACTTGCTGGTTCATTGCATGCATGTTCATTGGTTGAGTACATTAAAAAGAAAAATCAGTCCTTGAGAGAAGCAAGTCTTCAATATAAAGCAAATAAAACAAAGTTATTCCTACTAAGGTTCATCCAAGATTGGTAAGTTCATATTTCTTTATAGTTCTTAAACCTATTGATGGCTGTTTAGAGAGCAGTGATGGGGAAGATTTATATTGTTATTCTCTAACACTACATGTTATACATAATTTTTACCACTAGTTTGAAAACTTGACACAATATTTTCTTACAGGTACAGATTTGTGCAAGTACCTGTAAGTAGATGTGCTCACAATTTCCAATTGCTGCTAGAAAAGAGTTGTTTACAACACCCCAATCACTCACATATGATCAGTAATCCTTGTTTTTAACAAAACACATCGAAATGCAATGACACAAAACACACATGAACAATGAAAGACCAATGTTACTTCAATAAAACAATGTAGCTTCACAAACTTCATTAACAATGTCAGAAAAAACATTGTTACAACCCATCGTTGAACCTTGCGAGACATAATAGAAATTGAGATCATTTACCTATTGACCATTGAGGAAAAACATCATAAAAGGCCACATGATGTTCTGTATAATACAAGAAACTTGATTAAAGATCACATTAGCATATTCCTAAGGCAAAATAAAATTATAATCAAAATATAATGCAAAAAGATAGTCTGAGCCCTATGGTCACATTGGCTGAGTTGTAAAGATGTTTTCAAGACGAACACCTGAATTTCAATGTAAGTAAAACCTTGTACACAAGTCTTTAAACTTAGAATTTTAATTTTGGTACATGAATCGATTCATTTAAGGTATTTGATGAACCAAATGTGAAACTCTTGCTGCACAAGACTGAAAGAAAACCGCCGAAGAGAGTGATTTGCTTCAAATTAAAGCCATTTTAAGGAACCAAGAACTGAAATCAGAGTAATAAAGGAAAGTCTTGGATAAATACGACAGTCGAGGTTCTGTATGTTGATATGTAGCAAGTTCTTTCCATTTTGTGATCCACGTTATGGGAACAAAATGAGTCACCATGCATTAGTGGTATGAGTGCAACGTCAGAAGTTCTACAGAAAAAGCATCATTCTTGATGAAGTATGTGGTAAGTAGCTACAACAAATAACAAAGAGGTGAAGAGTATAAATTAATCGTGTAGTCTGATCATTGCACAAGTCAAAATAATAACCAGAAAATATTGAACGCACACATTGTAAACCAGTTAACTGTAATTACTTTACCAAAATTGTTTATCAACTGGACACAGTTTTTGGCCATGCAATTCAGATTTTGCACTTCTCCAGAATTGTACAAAAGAAAGAGTTTAAAGGGTACATACAACAGACTGGAAGTACGTCAGCTGAAGCAAAATAGAATAAGCCCTTTCTAATGGAAGGAATGGACCAAACATTTCAAAGATTTAGCAATGAACCTCATTTACCAAAACATAGAAGTTGCTCAAAATTAAAGGTTACAAAATAATTATGGAAGAAATATCTTGAAGATTCCTCCAATATTCATTCTCAAACCAGCCATAATGTCAAAATCTTTGGACGTGTTCGTGGTTTATTAAAATAACTAGGAACATCTACATACGTCAGTGGACCTATCCCTAGGCACAGATCAACTCCACCCTATGCCAAAAAATAAGATTGCTGAAGAGGATTTCTTACAAGGACACACAGTACACAATTCAGCCACTTCAGTTCTGTCAATCATTACCAAAGCAGTGATTTTCAGGGCTTAACTCCTGGACTTTTATAATGACTTTAAGCATTTTGTTTATTATTTCATTGTTAACAGTGTTTTTTATTTATTTTATTTATAGAGGAGAGCCATCAAGAGCATTAAGGCATACGTTTCTTCTTAGTTTGCATTGATTGCTTGACCCTCAGGCCACAGAGGTAGGAACAATTGGGAGCCTTCTCCCCAGCAGTTGGCCTTAGGAAAAAGGGTTGCTTGCTAACGAAGCTGACTACACACACTCAGTCAAGATTGTCCAAGTCTTGTGGTGGTATGACATTGATTCCCACTTCTTGAATTTAGTAGGTAGTGTAATATTCCTAACTGTTTGAGATTATTTCCATTAAGAGGTCAAAAGAGGGCACCTATTAGAGTGTATTATTGTAGGAAATGTTGCTGTCTGAATGTTTGCAACGGCTTTCACAGGCTGAACTATCATGGTAGAAAAAGTTCTAGTAAAATCCAGGTTTTTATGTGAAACTGTTAGCCAGAACTATTGGATTTACTTTTCAACGAAAACTATGCTGTAGATGGGAGTTCGCTGTGCGATTACCCTCTGAGTTTCTGGAATGAGGTGGTGAGGAATAGTTTACTCGTTCAGCATTTTGTCTCATTTGGTGCTCAGGAGGAGGACAAGACATATATGTATGTATGGTAAAACTGGCCTGAATGGTATGGCAAAACTTCTGGTATTTATAACTTCCATTTCACATAGCACTGCACATATCTATAATGACATGAATTTAGGATTTCAACTTCTCCTTCCTTTCTGCAGAAAACCTAGTAATCAACACCACCTTTTGCCAAATTACGATGGGAAGATCTTAACCTGGAGATTCCAACCTTTTTTTTTTTTTCCTTTGTTTATTGATTTGCTCTTAGGTGCAGTCTTCAGAGATAATGGTCCCACAGGATTGGATTACCAGTCGGTGGGATTCTAATATTTTGGAGCCATATTGATTTTTCTCCCCAAATTATATAAATTACACTCAAATTTTCAATTTTAAATATATCTAAATAGGATTTTCGTTGTTTTGTTCATAAATTGATCAGAAATTGCTATACAATTTGACAAAAATTAATACAATATTTATGCATTTCATTTATCAAAAAAATAAATGAACATTCATTAATACTTTTGGTTTACGCTTGACTATTCATAGTATATGTTTTATGTTTAGTAGATATATAAAATATAACTCGTTTAAAACATATTAGTTCTACACTTTTGCCAAGCGAATTCTTTTATTAAATCAAAATGTAAGCGACACATTAACATCACATTCAATTGATAGTAAAGCCAATGAACTCACTCTACCGTGTCCTCCTCAGGGTATTTTTTTATTCTTATTAACTGTGAAAAAGGTTGCACTCCAGAACAGTTTGTTATCATCAATTTTAAAAACATTCTAAGGGCAGATTTCTAAGTTCAGAAAAACTGTCTGGTTATCTTTGTAATGATTTTGTGGAAATTGGTATAATTAACATGATTACATCTGTTCATTTTCAAAAGTATCTAATGATGAAATTGTTTCAATTCTCTGGCAAGAATGAAATCCAGATCCTCAGGATACAATGCAGCAAGCTTTTCAGGGATAGATGGAAACTTGATAGCAAGTCCATGTTCAACAAGAAAGAAAATTTGTCAGACAGATTTTGTTAAAATAATCAAAGGTAATTCCATAAATATTTCATTCCATAAATCAAAGGTAATTAAGGAACTTCACTACCACAGATCACATTCTTAAAATAAATATCAAACATTTTACATGATCACAGTTTACAATTCCAAATCCTTGATCAGAAGTCCCGAATAATTTATAAATTGCAAATGACTACTGAAGGCGGTGTAACAAAACAAAATTTTATTAGCCAATATCAAATAATTACCGGATAAATCCATGACGAATAGTTTTCTCCGAGAACTCAAATGGGCCAGTTTCTCCGCTGTTGTGGGTGAGAGGTTCGTCACCATAAGCCGTTCCATACATGCCGGACTGAGGAGAGGCAAACCCTGGAGCTGGAGGAGCAAAAGCTGGATTGGATCCTTCGTAAGGTGGAGGAGGGGATGGGTAGTTTGGATATGGATATCCTTGTTGTGGTGGTGGTGCTGAGGCTCCAGTAGGAGGATAACCGCCTGGTTGAGGAGGGTAGCCTTCTTGCTTTGGATATGGAGGCTGAGGCTGTCCGTAACCTGGAAATAAAAGAAAAACATTCAGAACAATACTTAAAAATTAAATACGTTTGCACACTGCACATATACGAAAAATTATGGCATCAGTGCAATTCAATACTCCTTACCCCACAACTAGTCCTTGCTACTACTCAATTCAGAAAAAAATCAAATCTTTAACTTTAAAATAATAGGAGATGCATTCACCTCTGACAATGAAGAAAGAGTATGACCAAGACGATGATAACTGTATGACACATTAACCTGATTGAACATCAATAAATTTTTAATCTATTGGACAAAAAATATGTCATATACTGATTTACAACTGAAGTTTTATGACATAAAATTCCCGCTCGAAATTACTCATGAGAAGGTGAACTAGTAAAAACCTTTTCACTACTGCTTACTTACATTACTTGTATGGACACTCATACAAAAATAGTTCAAGTGCAAAACTATGAACATTAATAGTGTTATGAACAATAAGAAAGCCTATGGAAATTAGAAAAACAGTTTATATGGAAGCCACATTAAGAAACAAAGCATGTTAACACTAAAACTTCATGCCAAAGACAATAAGAATCATGAAGAAGATGAAGAAAAAGAAAGAAGATGAAGAAAAAGAAAGAAGATGAAGAAAAAGAAAGAAGATGAAGAAAAAGAAAGAAGAAAAAGATAAAAGCAGAATTCATGATCAAGAAAAAAAATGCCACATCCTACAAACTAGCTACATTACATGTACAGACACCAAAATATTAGCCAAATAATAATTATATGTGAAGCTTCATTACATACAACAAAGCTGCAATTTTAAGGAATACCATAAATATCACATTTACATACGTACATTAAAAAAACTGGTCTAATAATACATAAGATCAGGGTGGCAAGATACGAAGATGGGCATATTAAATTTTAATATTGTGCAAGAAGTAATCTTTAAAAGTTTGAATACCTCTTATTTATCAGTTTTGTTTCCACATTCGATTCAGAAAATTGATTATTAACTACTTCGAATGATTTACTTGATACCATTCATTTGCAAATCATGAAAGGAAATTCCAAAGAAAGTAGTATACGGATCAATGTGAACAAACGAGTATCAAATAAATTTACTGAAGCCAAGCACGAAATTACAAAACCAGTTTAGTAAGTATTATGTCTACATCCTTAAGAACTTAAAAATCGTTGGTAGTTTTCGAAATCAGATATCAATTATTTGTAGAACAATTTGCATGAAGTTTATGGAACAAAAACATTTAGAGTCAAATACTTGTACAAAAGTCTAACATAAGAATTCTTCTATATCTAGTTCAGATTAATTTGAAAGCAATTGTATATAAAGCTACCTAATGGTGACAGAAAATACGGAACCTTAATTTATTTTTTGCTGTTCTGAGGAATTCGGAATATACAATTTTTTTACAACAAATTTGAAAAATTGTTGGTTATTTATTAGTAAAATTTATATCAACGTCTTATCTGCTTAGTATTACATCAATTCTAGTTACCTTAAGAACGGAAATTAAATTTCTGATATAGCGCAAGCCACGACATCGTATGCCTTTACAAGTCTGTTACTCTCCGCCGCGGCCTGCCCGTACAATCAAATCGTTCCCGATAAGCCCCGATAGTGTTCGGTAGTTTGTATCAGAGTTGACGCCGAGCAAGCACAAAAGGATAAATGTGAATTTTGTTAACGAAAATTGTACGTAAAACAAGATCATTCAAAAAAAAGTAACGACATGGATACGCGATGTGTTAGGTGTATCGAGTCATCACAAATTGGAAAAATCTGCTCTGCTCAAACTACGCGAACGAGACTGCCGGAACAGTTCGTGATAGGTGATGACGCACCGTCATTGATTTGTATGAAATTGCCCGACATTTGGGGATTCCAGAATCTCTCTGGGGTTTAAATCAATTGCCAATAACTTATGCTAAGAATTTACTTGGTAGAAAGAAGGTAATGAAAACCAGGAAAGAAAAAAGAATGTTGCACTATATAAACGGGAATACCGATGTTAATATTAAACTTGTTTGTTATTAATGAAACTAGTTTGAAATGGGCCTCATGAAATTAGTTTGGCGCTTTTACAATACGAGGCGTTAACAGAGGGTCTAAAACAGCAAGTACTTTCACAGAAAATTACGCGAAAAGTACTCAATTCCGAAAAAATTAAACATGACCTTCTTTCAAAACTTATATTTAAGGAACATATTTCGTTAAGGGAAAACTCTGTATCTTCATAACTGTAATTCTGGGAGTCGTCTACCACAAAACAGTATGCAAGTTAGTAATTGTTAGGAAAGTTATGTGGATGATTCTATGTCAAAAAATATGCAAACACTACTGTGATCAATAGAACAATACAGCTATCATTCAAAATACTCGTATACAAGAAACATTTTGCTCTACATATTTCAATTGAAATTGGCTCAAATGAGTCAACTCCTTCGATAATAAATATTACCAATTGCTCTAATTTCACAATTAACTTTTCCAAAAAGTAAATGTAGACAATTTATGTTTGTAATGCTTGTTTTATTTACTTGTTTGTAGTTAATGTTAACATATTTAATTAATGAAGTAAAGAGTACAAAGAATGTAACATTTCAAAAACTAAAATCTTTTCAAATGTTTTCATTTAGCATTTTCAAAACACCCATTTTAAAGTCTTGGACAAAGTATAGTCTTCTACTCGTGTAGAATGGCTATTATTCACTCGTAGAAATCCTACGCTCGAAATTACTTTCATTTATACCACAATTTCTCTTTTTTGTATGACTCATTTAAAATCGTATATTTGGTGCGGAAAATAGGAAGAATGCGAGAAAATAAAAGAAGTTAATAAATAATACGACGCTGATAGTGTTGACAAACGCAAATTGATCGAAAAATATAATACTAATTATTAAATACTATGGTATTGTAATAGTCTACAAATGTATAAAAGTATTCATTTTCATTACCGCGGTCGAAGAGCAGCCGTCATTACCGGCTTCTATTATCTGTGCGACAATACAACGGGTAATAACCCAGAACTACCGCTCACCTATTCGTTTTCACATCTAACAATTAAAGGTTGCAATTTAAAATGAAATAACCTAAATATAATAAGTAATGATAAAATGAAATATGAATATACAAATTCTAACTCAGCACGCCACGGCGTAAATTGCAAGCGGGCGGCTGTAGGCTAGCTATCTATATTTCATATTTATTTCAAATAGGTTTTAAATAATTTCTAAGAGATTAATTTGTAAACGTACAACAAAAGTTCCAATGTAAGAAACGAACAAAGAAATCTTAAATATGAATTAACACACTCATCTTAACTTGCGTAACATCCAATTGTCTCAAAACACCTCTAAAATTAATATCAAGAAGCGCAGGATTTTCAGAGTGGGCGACTTATTTCGACGCCCAATTAATCCCAAAATACTCGTATATTCGAAAAATCCAACATGACCTTATTTGAAAATCTGTTTTTATTTAAGACTATATTTCACAAAGAAACAAAAATGTATCTTCATAATTGTAGTTGTGGGAGCGCCGAAACAATTTTTCTTTTTTTTTTCATTTTTGGAAAAATTGGGGGGTTTTAACCAACAACATCGGCACCATCTTCAACGTCCTTCAGACTATTTCATTAAGGGGATAAAATATTAATCTAATATTTTTGTGGGAAGACACCGAAACAAAATTATTTTTTCAATTTTCGAAAAATCACTTTTTAACCAACACGACACCTGCGCCATTCTCTTAAACGTCGTTCCGACTATCCAACAACAAAATCGATGGCACCATTTTCGTGAAAAGTTTGAAAATGTCTCACGGGCTTCAAGCAAAGTATCCCCCAAAATTAAAATTAGGATTTGAAATTCAAGAGTCCACGTTATCAGTCAGATCGATTGGGGAATATCAATTTTGGAAAAAATCGGCTGAACAGTTTGGCCACTAGCGTTGTTCACAGACGGACTGACAGACGATTTGCCGTCAATCGACTTTTCGGAATCAAGGACCTACAAAACATGAATTCTGCCTACACCACGTGTAAGAGCACCCCCCCCCCCCACACACACACGCACTAAATTTAGCAACTGGTTTTATGCACTTTTTCATTACCAAGATCACATAATAGGAGTTTTTCTGCCGAAAATGGGCAGTTTTTTCGGGCAGCATTACAAAACTCTCTTCTCCCTTCTTGAGCGCGAAAACGAAAAAATATCTTTACATTTGTAGTTCTTGAAAGACGCGGAAAAGTTTCTTAATTTTATTTTCGAAAAACCAGGCACTTCAACGAACATGACTTGCACTATTCTCTTAAGCGTCCTTTACGCTAAGGTCCAAAGGCTGTAGTAAGGTAAGGGAGAAGGGCCTCCAAGCGTAATTCAATTTTGAAGAAATGTGTAGTGTTATTTTGAAAGTCATTTCCACAAAATCTCAGAATAGCCTGATTATTTTGCAAGACAGATAAATACAAATCTTAAGTTTTTGATTTTTTCATATCATTTACTTTGAGATAATTCTGAAAAAAAAAAAAGACTATTGACATCTATTCGCATCTTTCAGAGTTAAACAAATTTAAAAATCGGGAAATTCAATTTTTAAATTAAAAATTTGGAATTTTTGTTCGTTTCTGAGGTACGTCTAAAAAAAAATTCTACAATCGGTAATAAGATGTTCTTAACTGCTGATTTTTTCCAGTTTTTATTGGTGCGTCGTATTGAAAAAAAATAATAACTTTTCTTCGTTATTTATAAATATGTGATGGGAATATGTTAATACTCATAATAAGTTAATCACTTTTCTACTAAAAAATACTTTTCAGGACAGAAAACATATCGTTTTACCACACAAAAATATTGAAATTTTTGGCGCCGAATTCAAATTTTCAAAAATTAGTGTTATAATGTTCTTGTGACCCGTTTTGATGTGAAAAATGTTACTGAAATTGAACTTCTCCATATAACATTGTCACAGGAATGCGCTTATCTTGATGGCCCAACATCAACTTAAGAGTACTCTCTGCTATTCAACGAGGCCATCTCGATATAGAATCAAAAAGAATGATCTACGAGTCGATAGCATATTTTTTGGTTGTTGCAATATTCGGAAAATAGGCGATGTCAACGAAAATGAGACATACACCATTTTCTTAAACGTTATTTGCTATTTAACAACAAAATTAAATCAAATCATTTGGACTCATTTTTTAAAAATTTTGAAAATGTCCGGGGGCTTCATGTAAAGTACCTCCAACATAATAATATCAGTTTAAATTCCAAGGGCCTCGACATCAGCCACAATGATTAGACTCTCAATTAAAAAAAAAAAAAAAAAATAAATAAAAAAAATGAACTGCTTATGCGCTAGCGTTGTGCACGGACAGATAGGTAGATAATTGATTTTTCAGTATGAAGGATGCACAAAACATGGATTCTGGCTACACTTCATGTTACAGGAGTTTTTCTATATTCAGCAAGCGGATTTATCCACTTTTTCATTACCTGAGCATGGTAATAAGAGTTTTTGTTTCAAAAATTCGCAGTTTTACAATTTTTACGATTTACAATTCTACACCACCTTGCCAAATGACATTAAACTCTTAAATTCGATACAAAAGTTTAAGTCCCAAGAAAAATATTTTCTGCAGCACAACTGTTTCTAAACAATAAGAGACTATACCGAGCATCCAAAAGGAAAGTAATATTACTTGTAACAATGACATTTAATGTATTGTTTTCCATTTGGATTGTATAATTCTAAATAACCTGTAACAAGTATTATACTTCAGCTTCTGGATCAATGACCCTCATCTCTATCAGGTTTTTGTCCAGTTTCCCTGATTCTCGAGCAAATGCTAAGATGGCCCCTTGGCTACTGGACATAAATGTAACTTCAAATAAACTTCTCCCCATTGCACATCACACACAGTTTTTTTAATATAAATAAATAAATAAATAAATACTCTCTCTTCTTCAGTTAATAAGCGAGAGAAACTAAAAGGTATTCAGAGGAACCAAACGTATCCACATTTTTAATGACTGCAGAGCATTTCATGCTTTTGAATAATAATAATAATAATAATAATAATGTGTCATTATGTACTAAAGGAATTAATTTATGTAATAAGGTTTATGCTATATCTATTTTTGATGTTAAAGCTTGTTTTATACATATAAACGTTAAATCCTCATCCAATTGCAGCCACCTAATGATCACCAACTGTCTTGCTGTACCTCTCAAATATCACCTTAATTTGAGATGTTAAAATAAAATGCTTGTTTCAATGAATCACAATTTATTCACCTTCTTTATTCAATTAGTGGTTGAGAAACACTTGTGTGGTTATTTTTTTAACAAACATTAAAATCATAAGTATTACATAAGCAGTATTTTTTGTACATGGGATTCATATCATGCTCTACACAAATGTTTTTTCATATTTTACACACAAATACTTAAGTAATTCTAGTTCTTTTTAAGAATATCATTGTTTAACAACACAGATCAAATCAGTTCAGCAAGTTGCTCTTTTTACAGAATTAAATTGGCCAATTTGCCTATCTTGCTTTAAGGATTTTTGTGACCAAAATGGTGGTCACACTACCTCCTAGAAACAAAAATCTCAGTGAATCTAACAAAATAAAGCAGTGTGACTAACAAGCAAATATTTCATCAATTTCTAAAATGTAAGAATAAAGTTGTAAAAGTTGACACCAGATCTCTTTCCTCTTTTCTAAGAGTGACTGTCCAATTATTGTTTATTTATTAATGGTCACAGCAACAAGCTGTTGTACTCATATGTTAAAATGCTGTAATGAAGTCTTACAAAAGCTTTACTGTTGTAGTTATATCATGAAAATTACTTTTAAGCACATCCAAAGTTATTGCAAGACAGGCATGTCAACATTTCGCCCAATATGGTTGTGGCCTTTATCAGGACAAAAACTAAACCATTGATATTAGAATTACAACCACCATAACTGATCATTTAAAGAGGTATAGATTAACCCTAAAGTAATATTGAACTGCTGGCATTGCAGATAGTAGTCAATCGATTTTTCAGTATGAAGGACCTACAAAACATGGATTGTGACTACACAACATGTTAGAGGAAGTAATTTACTATACATAGGAACAAGATTTATCCATTTTTGTATTATTGCCAGGGCCCAGCAATAATGTTTTATCAGCCGAAAATTCACCATTTTCCGGCTCAAACTTACAATACTTTTTTTTTTTTAATTAATTAATTTATTTTTATTTTTAAACTCAAATTGTTAAAATAAAAACAATTAAAATTATGATTCTGACAATGAAAATATATAATTAAAGGGTCACCTTATGTAACATAAAATATTTCGCCAGAGAATGAAGTGCATCTTTATAAAATGCTTTTGGCTTGCATAATGAGAGTACCGATGCACATTGTACCTCACTCGCCTGAAATTCATAAGCGCCTCACCTCCCATTAAGTTGTTTAGTCGACAGTGATGTACGCTCAAGTGGCAATCACAACAAAAGGAGGAATATGATTGGGAAGAAGAAATAAGGGAGACTTAGGAGGCAATGAGAGGCCAGAGGGGGAAGGGGTCAAGCTGGTACAAGATATGGGACAAAGAAGACATTGTCAATATTTGAGAAGACCACATACAGTGAATGATATTAAAATGAATTTGGGAAGTAGTTAATTTCTAAATTAGTATTCAAGAACATGTATAATTTTATATTTAATGTTTCAGAAACATGCCTTAAAAACTTTTTAGGGTTCTTCATCAATTAACTTACAAATATTGTAGTCTAAATTATGACCTCTAGTGAAGCCGTATGTTATAATTGAATTTTGCCTATTAAGATGTCTTTATTATACAGTTACGGAATGTGCGGCCACTGATCTGGCTGCTGATAATGGATTGGTATCAGAAATCAGTGGATGTACGCGGGTCACTCAACTTCAACTCCAAACATCCAATGGATATTTATGGCCAACATTGATAAGATGTTTCACCTTTCAAACAAATGATTCCATCCTGGAAAGTTGGCTATAACAGAACTGCAGTTACTTGCCAAGGGCTGTCCAATGTTTGTTGCACAAATAAGTCACAAAACGGCCAACTCTTCATTAAAATAGAATTCACAGTACTTAGCAACTGCAACTGAATAGAGTAATAATGTAGAATTTAATTTGTGTATGGAATAGATTACATGTGTCTCAAAAATTAAATCAAGAAGCCTCTTTTCAACAAGTTCAGGAACGGTATAATACACAGTGTAATGGAAATAATAATGTAACCAAATTCCATCTACTGAAACAGAAAACACAAGACATGTTTGGATTGTAATGAAATGTACAATGGGCAACTTGAATAAAAGTTACTAAATATTTTAACAAAAGAGAGGTGCCTAACAAGCAAAATTCAATGGCAACATACTGCCTCACTAATGACTGTAATTTAGACTTCAATACCATTGACAATTTGCATAGAACCTACAAACTTTTCATGGCTTGTTTTTAAAACATTAAATATAAAATTATGCAAGTCCTTGAATAATAAATTAGGAATTAGCAGTTTCACAAATTCATATTTAACATTCACTGAATGTTTGCTTTGGCGCATATGTTGCACCATCTTGACCCCTTCCCCCTATCTCTCTTCTCCACTATCTTCCCTCACCATTATTTTCTTCTTCACAATCCTATTCTACTTTTAACGTGAGATGTGTTGAGCGCATACCATCTTTAAGTTCGGAACTTAATGCAAGTCTAGACACTCGTCAGCAAGTATGGCAAGTGAGATGTAATGAATCGAGAAGCTCCATATGCAGATAAAACTATTTTATAATGATGCACTTCATTATCTGATACATATTACATAAGATAAGCCTCCAATTATATCCTTGCATTGTTGCTCTTATCATTATTTTAATTGTTTTTATTTTTTAAATAATTGCTTTTAAGTTTAACAATTTATAGTATCATTAAATATCTAAAGGTGGAAATGCACAAATTTCCAAAACAATTTTTGTAACTTATAAAGAAATTGTTGTTGTTTCTGTACATGCATTCAACTTCTGAAATTATTCATCTACAACAGGTTTATCACAAATTATGTACCAATATATTTATCTCTAATGACTAAGCTGTGGATTTCTGCCCATTTGACCAGTTTTTTGCTTCAATGGAAAATACAAAATTTAAGTTACCTATTCATTTTGGGGGTAATAGGATTATTATGTGAGAATTTTATAGTGCCTAAATGTTGTCTATTTTCATATTTATTGATCAAAATACAACAATCCTTAATAAAAAATTTTAAAATCGTTCGTTTTTATTCTGATTACAGGGAAATTGAACAACTATCTACAAACCTATGTTCCATTTTACCGCCACCACTGTGTGGTTATTTTGTATTATGAAATCTGCAAAACTGTTGGCGGTTATTTTTTTACTTCCAATTTTTAAACAATTATTTTTTACTGAAAATGCTCCAACTTTTTTCTCAAAATTTTCTCCTCACATTTTATATGGAAGGACGGTATAAAAATTGGTACCTGTTCCACATTGCGTGAACCCTGTGTTTTTGAAAATTACAAGTTAACATTGCAAAAGTACAATATTGAATTGAGATTTCTGTCTCAAATGAAATATGATCTAAAAAATCAGATCTTTATAAAGGACTATGCTTTAATTTGACTCCTTGGACACTGCTCCAATCTTGTAGCTTGTTTCGTATATTTCAATGTTTAAAAAGATTAAATGTGTCTCTTAGTATTTTAGATACCTTCTGAATAAATATGTGAGCATTCCTTCGGGTTTGCATCATTTTATTGACTTGTAGTCCAATACATGCAAAGATCTGAATCGAGAGATGCTTCATCACAGTACAGCAACCGAGTTTCGAAAAGCAAATTACTATCACATTAAAGAACGGCATTGGGACTGGGCATTTCGAACTCCAGATGGTGATAAGGTTGTCATATATTTGTTTATTTAGTCTGTCTTGTTTAATAATTTCCAAATAATTAAGACACATTTCAAGAAAAAATGGCTAATTCCTCTAATTTCATTTGTAAAGATATCTTTCTTTCGTATGAAGTGATTTATTTATAAACTACCCATATTATGTCAGGGGAACAAAGTTGATACAGCGGATATTTCCTTCCAAACATGATGTATTGACATCATTGTTTGACATCATTGACATTATTGACATATTGACATATTGAGTTCATGGCATAAAACTCAATGAAAGAAGAATTATGACCTGCGGGGATGATCACTCAAAACATGTGTACCAATGTTAATTGGTATATTAATAATTAAATGTGTACCAATTGGTGTATTAATAATTACATGTGTACCAATGTTTTTAGGATACAGTGGAAATATTGTGAAAAACAAGAGGCAGTGCCTGAAAAATGTAGCCATTAATCCCGCCACATGATATGAAGCCGGTGTCTCGATAGAATTCTAAAGTGTCAAACATCTGGATAGCATGCTACACAATGTGCTTCCCAATTGAATCATTTATTTCAGAATTCCCATCGATTGCAAAACACAATGGATGCTTTAGCGACGGATTATTGTTCCAGGAAGATTGACACATCGTTTAGAGCATATTTATATGAAAAAAATTTCATGTATCTACTCATTTAATTTAAAAAAATAGTTTGAAATCTGAAAAATTGAGAGACTTATTCTCAGTTTTCTCGAAATGAGGAATTTGGCATTTGATGGGTTTCTGAAATAAATGATTGAATTGTGGTTAGCACAAGTCATTAACAGTTTGAATCTTTTAACTGTATGTATTTTACATTGCATGCACAGTAATCAGTAATGTAGAAAATAAATACAATAAAACTACAAACAAGAACTAAGAGCCATTTAGAACACGGGATTAAATTTCTCTTAGAATTGTTATGTAATATATTCAAAGTCCTTATCGGTGTGAAACCAACATAAATTAGTAATATATTTGTTTATAATAAATATAATACAATTAGTAACAAATATAAATATGACATACTGTGAGATAGTACGGGAAGTGAATTGCAAAGAAAATATATTTTTAGGACGTGTGAAACTGGTATTGTTTAAAAATTAATATTTAAAAAATATTTATATTGTCATTGGTAGAAACATATTACTCTTATATAAAAGTTTACTCATCAACATAATATTGTCTGTTTACTACCACTTTCCATACCAGATGTTTGTTTAACTGCTATTCCCCTGAACAATAATGAAATGAAATATTTAAAATATATTTAAATTGAGGTGAAAGACTACTCTTCTACACTAAAAAGATATTTTTTAATAATGTTTTAGTAACGTAGATAAATATTTTTGCAAAACTCCCTTTTAATAAGTATCATTGAAAGCTCAGAGTCGAAATGACTCCACTGGGGGCTATTGGTAAGTCAAGCATTCTAGTGTTAATGAAAAGCAAGAATGTAGCTACTGCAATTCGCCCTTTTTTGTCTGATTTTCCCAACAATGAAAAAGTATTTCTACAATATTTTGTCAGAACATTGATGATAACAATCAATCCAAGAAGGTAATTATATTATGTTTACTTCTGAAACTTTCTACAAAAAAGCATAAATAAGGATAAGAAAAATACAGTGCCATTTTAAATGTCTACATTTACATAGAAGTGTAAAATAGTGTATTTTCGTATCCATATTTATGCCTACCACTATTTTGCCTACCTATTACTACAGTTTTTCATGGCTATATATCCACAGCTTACTTATGACTTAGGGGAGGGGGGGGCTATCCCAGATGCAGGTATCTGACAACCAGCACAATCAACTGAAAGTTAATAAAATCCGAATTCACAGTATTTTAGGTTTACTTTTCTTTTCAATTAAAATTGCTGAATAATAGATATACTTTATATAAAGCAAAGAGCAAAACTTCACCAAATGTTGAACTAAAGCTGTTTAAATATATATTTTGAGGAAAGTCCATCTTCACATAAAAAGAACCTTAAAATTAAAATATTTACACAATTTACATTATTCTTCACTAGGCATTCACTTAAAGGAGCACCATCAATTTATGAATACATTGATACTGCCTAACATTCTCTACAATTATCAAGATAAAAAACAGCCTTGACATTACATGCTGAATTTACTTAAACATGAATCTACAACATTAAGTAAAGTGATATGTCTAGACCAGAGATCAAAAACCACCTCCTTGCATTGACCCATTTTAAAACAATATTTTTCTTCCCCATGTATTTTTGTCTATTATACAGCATTCAACAAACATAACACAAAGAAATATACACATTAATATAACAGTAGAGAAATAACAACTCTGCATACCAATATTGTCATATGTATCTCACAATCCCATTACCGGAATCCATATATCTTAATCTTCTTTGACCCCCTTCAAAACTTCATTGATCCCCAAAAGTGGTCAATAGTGACTGATGGGGAACCTCTGCTCTAGGCAACCAAGGCAAAAATGATAGCTCTTGATAAACCACTAATCAAAACCGACTATAACAAAACTTCACATTTGTTAAGTTCTATATAGCATGCATTGCTACAAGAAAGGTAACTGATGAGAATTTCTAGAAAAAAAAAGCAATAAAAAGTAGTGGCTTTCTGCATTGTGTGTTGCGAAACTCTTGGCAAAGGCAATATGGCATTTGGTGACAAAATATTTGGCACATCCTTTTATTTAATCTCAATATATTGAAATTTAATCATCTCTATTTCAGGAAAGCTATGCTGCAATCTGTATATTTTAAAAGAAATTTTTACACAAGTATTTGCAACTTCCTTTTCTCACTTTTAAAAAGATTGGGAATATTCATTCCTTGTGACTTGTTTATTCACTCATTGTGGAAACGGGCACCAAATATAAATGTACACAATTTATTATCAGAAAAATTCGTCATGAAATTCAGAGTTCTTCTCTAGATAAAAGGTGGTCACACTACATTTTGGGATGTTTTTTGATAAGAAGACAAATTTCCACTAGACAACATGTGAAAAGGAATATGCAGATCAATTCTCAAGCTTTCCCCGCCACAATTAATTTCAAAACTTTCAAGATTTTATAATAGCAGATAAAATGGGAATTAAACTTAAAATCAAATGCAACTACAGCAAGAGTTAAGCAGTTTGCATAGAAACATCAAGATTTTCTATTTTGGAAAGGTTTCTTGGATGAGAAAAACATGAAAAAAAATTGTAAGCCATTTAAACAAGAATTCTAACATGCAAGGGGAAAATTATTCATTTAAGCATTCCAATAACTTTTAAATAATTTCTCATTTTTATTTTTTTGTTTCTCTAGGAGAAATTTTAAGCAGAACAAATAGAAAGAACTATCTAATCACTATGTTTTAAATGTTCTACACATCTTAGATCCATTCAACAATTTGCAAGGACGCTAACATGAACTGATTTACACTAAATAAATGAGTGAAAAACAGCACTTTTCACTCCCATCCCATTTCCAACAATTTCGCTGACATACATACATCCAATATCTATCATTTGCTGGTGTGCTGCAATTATTCCTTTTATTTCGTAAAACATGGAGCTCGAGAATAAGAACTGCTTTACTGTTGGTTTTTTGACACAATTTAACAAAACGTTTTATATTGTAAATGAAAGGTATGTATTCTATGAATCAGTTTTGTAAATAAACAAACATAATTAATGATACATCTCAATCCTTGTAAACGGAAGTTAAGTTTGACACTACTGTGGAAGTAAAAATGCTGCTTTTGAGAGTATTTAAGTAAAACATCTAAGGTTTCATTATAATTATTATAATTATTATAATTATTATTATAATAATTATTATTATTATTATAATTATTATTATTATTATTATTACTACTATTATTATTATTATTACTATTATTATTATTATTACTATTATTATTATTATTAATACAGAAGGATTTGTAATATTTGAAAATTATAACAGTATTCAACACCCCACCAATATGGGTTTCGCCACATTCTTCCTCTCCATTGATAAGCATTCCTTTGCCTATAATACCAATAAGTAATCAAACACAAACATGTAGGTACAGATAATCTAGTATGTAATAAACAAGAATTTTGTCATAACAAGTCAACATACTTTTGAGGGCTGAACATTATCAGAACGTTCTATTTATGATGATGATAAAATAATACGCATCCACAATTTGTTTCTTTGTAGCCTTGGGGCTTATTTAATCATTATTACAGAGCGATGCATTGAAAAAGACTATATCATTAAATACAATGATACATTGAATTTTATAGAAAAAATTTTGGGATCTTAACATATACCAGGAAAAATTCAATATTAATTAAAAACAAAGAAAATTTCTTTAATGTCTTCAACACATTACACAAGAAAAGGAAGTTCACACTGGATCATACTATTCCTAATAACGAAATCCAAATAAGATAAGTATTTAGTTATGGTATTCCTAGCATTTTACATTGAACATAAATAAGACTTCAATCATAACCAATAAAATCTCTAATTAATAATCATCTGCATCTTTGACTACATTTGTATTGACTTTGAAATGAACAAATGCAAAATATAAACAAAAAAAAATTAACACGACAAACATAGAAACCTTGCTGTCCGGGGTAGAAGCCTGCTGGAGGTGGATTTGGCTGCCACGACATCTTGCCAAAAGACTGCTGCAATGGACAATGAACAAAAGAAAAATTTTGTTAGGCTTAACAGCAAACAAGGTTTTACAAGCGAGGAGAGAGAAACTGCAGAGAACAAACAGATCAACAAGAACAAATTTTCAATATCCCTACAGAGTCAATGCCAATCATGCATTGAACTTGCAAATCTAGTGCAATGTTTGACATTCATACTGAACTACCGAAGTCATTTGCTAAGTCTGTTACAAATCATGCATTACATGATAACAAAACACTATTGTATATAATTAATTCTTCAATATTCTTTTAAGAAGTGTATATTAATTTCGCCTTTTCAGTTGTTATCCAATTGCCAACGAAAATAACGAAACGAATTACTACAGATTGCGCAAGAAGCACGAAACGTTTCACAGGGCTTGTAATGAAGCGATTCATGAAACTCTTTCGATAAATAAACATGTTCTTCCCTTTTGACGTAACACTACACCCACCCGAAATCTGATGGCAGTCACTTGAGTTTATATGTTAAAGACAGTAAACTATATTTCTTAGCTTACCGAAGTAAATAGGTTAATTGTGCCGTTAAACAAGCCTCCCGAAACGTTTTGATGGAAGTGTCAGGCCTCCTATCTGGTTAGCGCAACAAACACATTCCTCCAAAGTCACAAGACTACAAGGAAGAAGGATCAATACCATACCGAATGGCAGCATTTACACTCTTAAAAACACTTACCACAATAACAACAAAAAGGTTTCTTCTATCAACGGCACAATCTGTTATTACTGAAGTTTTAATCAAATTGCAACAGCTTCAATTCATATAACTGTAAAACGTCACTATCTGGAATTTTCTGGGAACAAAACGATAATTCGGGCAAAGTGCGTCCCGTATCATGCAAAGTGCCTTCCTCCACACTGACACAGGTTCGCCAACCACTTTATGTCTCTATTTATTTGTTACCCATATGAAATTTGGAGTAAAGTGTAATGTGAAAGTAAGTTTTCAATGATTCACAATTTTCATGCAATGGAGCCAAAGTTTACATTAATAGTCACTTCATCTTAGGTAGATACATGTGAAGAATTTTACAGGAATTCTTGAAGCAGTGGCATTCTGAAGGAAATGGATGCCGTTCTTCCTTCCGGTATATTACTATAGAACTTCAGACAGACCGCTAGCGAGTGACGTCTCGGCAATTACCAACTAAAGAAAATGGCGAAGAAGACCTACGATCTCTTATTCAAGTTACTTTTAATTGGTGATTCTGGAGTGGGAAAAACGTGCATATTGTTCAGGTTTTCAGATGATGCGTTTACTACGACGTTCATATCAACGATCGGTGAGCAATTGTAGTGATAATTACCTTCACTTGAACGTCTTCAGGTCAAATTGTGTTATGGCATTTCGAAGAGATCTTACAAAAAGTGAACAATAAAATAGCCTCGTGACACAGCGACTTTTCCATCATGAGGTATTCATAAGAGGTCAAACGGCCTTTGAGTCGTAATTTTCGTTCGGACCTTTTGTATCCAAATGTTTTCGTACTCCCATTTCGTTTCTAACAATGGACGTATTTCACTTTGAAAGTGGGGTGGGGCGTGATACAATAAACCAAAACTTGTCATGGATATTCAAAACATCTGTTGTAGAAACATCTAAGAGTTAGAAACTTAAGTTGTGGTCAATACAAACCCGGATTGTCCATTACCTGTTGAATTGCATTAATAACTTATGATCACTAACTTTTTGTTTAATTTTCAGATACTGTAAATTATAATCTTTTTGTGCCAATTTGTTTTATTAACTTTACATTGTGTGACAAATCGAAATTGTCTTCTACAAAGGCTCTTGCTGTAGGTGTTAATGACTTTTAATTGGTGACTATTGGTTGTTCTAGCCCTTGCTTATTTCTCTAATCACTTTGTTCTGTTAGCATGAGTAATGTCCAACTCAGTGTCTTTTATGTAATGATCTCTGAAATGTTTTCTTTTTTCTTGCAGGAATTGATTTCAAAATTAAAACTGTTGAATTAAGAGGGAAGAAAATCAAATTGCAGATATGGTATGATATTTACTGGCAAATGTTCAAAGTTTAAGTTTTGCATTTGCTTAAGAGTTCTTTATTCTCTTTCAGGGATACAGCTGGCCAGGAAAGATTTCACACAATTACCACCTCTTACTACCGTGGTGCCATGGGTATTATGTTAGTGTATGATATAACCAATGAGAAAAGTTTTGAAAATATTGTCAAGTGGCTTCGAAATATAGATGAGGTAAATACTTAGTGAAGAAGCTTATTGAATTTGTTTTGTAGTTCTATATGTAAAAGTGATACTTTTATGACATGGTAGAGTGTGAATCAAGTTTCGTGACATTTCGTAGTTAATACATCAGAAATCACATGTTCTTGTTAATTTGTGATTACCCATGAAACCATGTTTAAGTAAAAATGCAACGGTTTAATAATACGGTTAAGTACTTTGTAAATAATGATGTTTCTTGATCTGTGTATAGCATGCCAATGAAGATGTGGAGAAGATGATTTTGGGTAACAAGAATGATATGGAAGACAAACGAGTAGTTAGCAGGGAGAGGGGTGAAGCTGTAAGTTGTAATTTTTTGCACTACTTAGAAACAAATGTGATATTAGTTGCAAAGTATATTATGATCTTGTCTATAATCATGTCATTGTGGTTACTATTAGATTGTTACTTAATCTAAGTTTTTTTTTTATTGCAGATTGCTCGGGAACATGGCATCCGTTTTATGGAAACATCAGCCAAAGCTAATATAAACATAGAACGTGCTTTTAATGAACTCGCAGAAGCTATCCTGGATAAAACAGCCGGGAAGGATCCAGCAGAGGCTCCAGACAGAGTGGTCATGGACAGACGACTAGATCGAGGTTCAAATCGGTGTTGTTAAACTTGAAATGATAAGCGAAAGTGAACCAAGTGTTGTGCTGGTGGGAAGGACTAGTGCACTGTAGCACAACTTTTGGAGGTTCATGTCTGTTCTAAGGGCAGTTTCAGACAAGGACATTCTCTTAAAAAATGCAACTTTGTATTATGACTGCTTTCATTTGTTCTTATTTTTCTAGTTCAAAGTGTTTTCACCTATTAATAAAATGTTAGTGGAAAGTTTTTTAAAAGAAATATTCACTGTTTTGCACCATTTCCTTGTAACTGTCCTTCATTTGTACGTGCACTCTAAAGCTACAGATTTCCCGGTCCTATTTTTTTGTTACACAAAAGCTGCTTATGTTAGATGTTAAAGTGAAGCATATATGTATACATATGGGTTTTATAGTCCTTAGTATTGTGTGGAAATATCCCATAGTTTAAAGTGTAATGGGAATTGAAGCCATTTGAGAAAAGGGGTGAAACTGTTCCTTTAAAGGAACATTTTTCAAGTAACTAGTGTTTTCCGCCTTTTCTGGAACAAGACTTCGCAGAATACTTGTTAAAGCATTATAAGAATGAATGTAATATTTAGAATGTATGCCAGTGTGTATGTTATCTTTGAGTTAATATGTTCTCAGCTATGAATATCAAACTTTTTCTAAACCCATAACTATCTGATTTCCTTATTGCAAGTGGTGTCTCTTTTGTATCAGTACTTAGACACACTGCATCCTTACTTTTAGATGTGTGCATGATTGGGAATTCAAGAATGTAACTGCAACAAGTTACAAGTGTTAAGTGATTCACAAATAAGCAGTGATGATGCCTAGTCCTTCCCTCCATTAGTTCATAACCATTACTGGTGCTAGAAGAGAATGCAGGTGAAAGAATTGTGGAGGAATGAACAAAGAGGGAGGGCAAACCTTGGTAGGCTGCAAAAGCAGGTTTGCAAGTCAGAATCTTTGAGAATAATTTTACTTTTAGAATTCTTTGTGAACATGGTTATTTTTTGTGTGTGAATACAAAAACAACGCTGTTTATTAACACTTTGTCAAAGATTCTTGATAGTTGTTTTTTATAAGAAGGTATTTTTTAATGAGTGCTGCTTCTAAGAATGGCTGCTCCAGGTAGTGAAGCCAAGGAAATTACAATTACTGATGGAAAAGCAGTTTAGATAATTGTAGTTAAAAAAAAAAAAAGATTCAGAAAAAGACCCTGCCTTATGTTGTATGAAGATTCTAGTGTCCAATTAAAACAGATTAATTTTGAAATCTGTACTTTTTCTGATAAATATTTATGAAAATAAGGAAAGAACAGATGATCCGCTGGTTACTTCAGTGAAAAAATGTGAATTTCACTTGTCTTGTCCAAGGTTGTGGAAGAGTTTTACCATTACAATGGTCTGCAATTTAGTGTATGGTCATATTAATTCTAATTGTTCATCTCAAAGCAGTTGACATTTTTTTCAAGATCAGAAACACAAAGTCAACAATTACAAATGTAATATTAAGTTGTAATTAATTTTTCAAGTCCTACCAAGGGTAGGGACCAATAGGTACCAAGAGGCAGAATAATAATTCACTAAATGTATATTATAAGCAGCGATACATGAACTCCAAGAAGAAAATTGAACATTTGTTTTACTGTACACATATTTACAAATATATTTTGAATTGAAAATTGAATTTTATTTCAAAGTTTGTTAATAAGGGGATTTTCTAAGCAAGAGAATTTTGCAAATTAAATGGCTGCTGTACTGATATTTTTGCCTCAAATAATGTCAACTGTGGTGAAATTTTATTTTTTTTATCGTAGGATGAATCCCTCAATTACAAAATGTTTTTTACTCAAGAATATTCTTGTTATTCATTCAAGTTTAACAAAGAATGGTGTAAACTCTGTAAAATTAAAAGCCAAAAGAAATGCACAAGTAAATTAAGTCACATAAGTGTTAGTGTATTTGTGAAACTAATCACTCATTTTTATTACAAACTGAGTGAGAATGGATTTCTTCCTTTCAAGGAAGGTACAATGTGAAACTTTGAAAGAGAAAGGAACTTCTCTAATACTGTACCGATTATCATTGTGCGTAAAGCCAAAAATGAAATGTTTTAACTGAACAATAGAGAAATTGTGAATTAAAGGATTAAGTGTAAGATGTTGTAGGCCTTTCAAATGTATTCAGAATTCTGTCCCACAACATCAGAAATGTAAAGAATTTGTTGTTCTTTCAGAATGAATTTTCATCTGATGTGCCTCTTTTCTCCAGGTGTTTATTGTCATTTTCTGTTATATATATTTACACTGATTATATAGTTACAATTCTCAAATATATTTATGTTGAAAAGCATTTATATTAAGTGGTTTCTTCATGTGATATAATGACGAGGCTGACTACGTTTAGAATATAGTCATATCTTGACTGCTTCAATAACCTAACAAATATGCAAGATTGAACAGTTTTGTCAGTTAAGAGGCTAGTCACATAAATAAGTAATGACATTCTTTGTTCAAGTGGTAATTAGCAATTATCCAATAATTTCATGTTTGCATCAGTTCTTGTTCAGTAATACCAACAGAAAATTCAGGAATTTTGAAAGTAACGTGTAATTTTGTAATTCCTTTTTGTTTGTTCATGAAAAGGAACAGTGCCTAGATAAGAGCTGATGTTTAATTGCTGTCTTTCATTTGAAGAAAGCTTGAGTAAGAATTTGTTCAGCAAGATACGTACACGTAAGACTATTTAGTGCTTCGCGGTATTTTATTACAGTATGTAAAATGTAATATGTTGTGTTTACTTTCAAAATTAGAACTTGTCACATTTCTCTAAAATAAATTTTTTAAACAAAAACAAATATATGATTTGTTTCTTCTCAAGCAAATGAAATTAAGTATGATTTAAGGAATTGTTGGTTGTATTTACTAATCTATAACATTTTTATCAATAGACATGGTGTTTTAGATGAAGTTAGTGTGCTATAATTGCACTGTCCTGAATCCTTTCAGACATTTTATCATTTTAAGAATACCATATAAAAATGTGACTATTTCATAGATCTCTTCACCATTCAAAAAGTGAATGTCATTTTAGAAAATTAAATGTGTAAATATAGAGTGTAATACTCACGTCACACATTTTGGCAAGTATTTAAAAGGCAAAATTGAAAATAGTTGTCTTCAGAAAAAACTTAAATGCTTATGAATCTAAGTGCTTCTTTAATCTTGTCAGCCTCCATAAATGTGTGTTTCACTACTGTAGATCAATAATCAAACAACAAATGAGTGACAAATCTTTATGCATTTATTTTGCCCACTTTTACACATCGGTATGCGAGTTTCATACAAGGTGCCATAACAAAATCACATACACAAATCAGTGGATGAAACTTGGAAGCACTGCTTCCAATATATGTAGCAAAATGCATGTGCCTTTATGTTCAACTATGAACAAATATTTATCTAAATTTAATATAGCATTGTTTGTCTGTATAAATTCGCCTGTCGTGAAAATCTGCTAATGTACCAATGAAATTATCCTTTTCATATTTTATTTACTCTATGAAATGGTGTTGCCCGTTAGTGACAATCTTAAAATGTCTTAAAAAGCAAATAATTAAGCTACTAAGCACAGTTTGCCATGATAATTGTTTAATTTATATTTTGTGTGTTGTTCCAAACTTTGCTAGTCGATCATTACAAGTCACAAAACATGTTTACAGAAGACAAAATTATTACATATACAATTGATCATACTCTCTTGCTTTTATCGATTTTACTTAGAGATAAAACTGAATAGTTCTGATACAAATTTGAATAGCTTTCCTACAAGACAACTGAAAGGATAAGAAATTATCCTAAAAATGTATTTTTAAAGAATAACCAAATTAATCATAAAAACTAAATTTGTCATCTAGGCTAGAAATACTCAAGATACTGTATTGGCTTTTATCTAAGGCTTTGTATACATAAAAATCAAAAGAGTATGGTCAGCTCCATGAACCAATCGGGGGAAAAGGAAATTTACATAGGATATACATATCTATATCCATTTTTGTACATGATTTGCTTAGTACCAATTTGAACGATATTTAATAATTTGACAGTTCATGTATTTCTAAAAGCACAAATGCAGGTGTTTCATATGAGAAAGACTATGTAAGTAAATACTTGTACTTGACTTAAAGTGTTGATTATATTAAAATGTCTCTTGTGTCCGCAATGATTTCGTTATTTTGTAATGCAATAGGAATGAATTCAATATGAAAATATATAAGTGGGTGATACATATAAAATATGTATCACCCACTTATGTATTTTAAGATACATATGTCACCTATCATTCTAATGGTGGAACAGTTGGATCATCTATAAATCCTGCAGTAACTTTTTTTGAAACTAACGAGAGATTGGATTTTGATTCTTTTAAATGCTTTAATATGCTACAATTCTTCACAATTCTGCTAAAATCCATGTCTGATTTAGCAGGACCTATTTCCAACAATTCACGTTTGCTGTAGAAAATAAATTAAAAGTTCAGAAACATTCTTACAATTGCTTTTACAGGATAAACTTTCCTGAACATATTTTTACCTGGAATATGGTTTTGATTCTGCTGGAAAAATAGTGGTTCTGGGTGGAGGTTGTGTAATCTTCTGTTTTACTAATCCATTGACCTAAATAGCATATAAACCATTATGAAAGTGGATCAATTACTAGAACAAGTTGTAACTTAATTTTTTTCAATTAGAAACCCACTTTAGGCATTGTAATGACAAGATGGCCTGTGGTTAGCGAACGTTGGGCAGTAGAACTATCGGTTTTAACATCATCGGGAAGTACCAATTGCAGTACTTTGCCTTTTATAGTTACTCTTACATAAGTTGGCTGAACATCAACATCCAGAAGTGTGGTGTCTAAGTGCCTTGAGAAATACAAAAATGAATTGTGAAGCTATCAAAATGAAAGAGAGATGTCCACTTTATTCATTAAGTTGTATGGAAGAGAATAAAAATAATACTTGCTTATAGACTGAAATATCCAAAACAAAAGATAAAAGATCTTCACTTTCAGTAAATGTGAAAGATATACGTGCTTCATTTACATTAACTGGATGGCCATCCTTATCAAAAAGATTATATACACGTTTGGGTGTTTTTGTAATGAGATCGCATTTGTTATCTTTCCTTCTGCTTTGTTCTGCTATAAATTTTCTTGTTTCAGGACTATTATCAGATGGTTCCTGCCAAAAACTATTACAATTCATACTTACAAAAAATATATAAAAATATGCTTTTCATGTGTATTGCCTAAGGACAAGCATATGCATACCGAGAAAGCTTTTCTTCATCCTCTTCAATATCTTTTTTAACACGACTATATTTCAGTTCATTTTCAACTTTTTGAGCATATCTTTTAACTGCAAATTACAGGGTTAAAGTTAATTCATTATGAAACTAGTGGTTTTACCATCAGAAAGCAAAATTACAAGATGCTCATACATCATTAAGTATACTTCACAGTCATCACCTCATCTACTACGTTATTTGAAATTTGAGAGAGAATTTTGGGAGAAACATACCTTTATATTGTTCCTGTTCAATTAGAATTCTCTTTTTAATACGTTCATGGTTTTGCAGAGCCTTTATACGTTCTGAACGGTCAATGTCGGTTCCATCAAGAGATTGTAATTGGGGCAAAGTAGCAATCACATAATCACGATATCCAACATAGTCAGTACATGGATTGCCTGTTAAATATCTGGATATTTCAAAGAAATTGATACATAAAATGCATTTTCTTTTAAATCCATTCAAGAGGGTGGTGTGAAAGCTTTTGAATATAGTATGGTAATCTACTAATTGAGCAGTTAATCAGATTGAAATGATTTCATTTAATGTATTTCCTAATTCTTTATTATAATTTAGAATACAATGATACAAAGTGTGATTCAAAGGACTACCAAAAATTGTAACTCAATTGAAAAGTTTTAATTGAACATTGATTTTGGTTTGGAACTAATTTGAATACTTTTGAAATGAAATATGATTTGATAATTATTTTTAAAATACTTTTCATGTGTGTGTTTTGCAATTATGTAATAGATTGTAGTTTTAAGTGAACAGTTGCGGATCCAAGCGGAGGCCACAAGGTCCATACTGCACCTCCTCCCCACTCTCCCCAAAGCAAGCATTTGTTTTGTAATTTATTCAAAATAATTGCCATGTACACATCTTGTTACATCCAAAGCTGTATTCTTATTATGTATATTATGGTTAGAATATGAATGTTCTTGTAATTTTTAAAATTTTCTTTTCAAGATAACAATTTAAAAGAATATTAACAACAACAAAAAAAAAAAAAACAGGAGGTCTGAAATGAAATTGGCTCCTTCCTGAAATACTTTCTGGATCCGGCACTGACCACTAATCCCTTCTTAAAAAGAACACTTTAAATATAGAAGGCGTTCAAAAGAAAAGCAATCAGGCGCCCACAAAACTAAAAATTTCCACATACGATATCAGGTGAATTCCGGATCAGTACCAGAAGGTAAGGAAGATGAAAAATTGTAATTTTATCATATTACAAAGTGAGATTACAAAGACAATAGATGCTTTGTTTATAAATGCAATTATATCCATTAAATAGTGGAGGATACAATACTTTTATAATATTCAATTCACCTAAACAGAAACACATTTCATACTCTAAATTAATTTATTTTCATCAGTCATCAGAAAAGAAAACTTCTTTTTTAATTTTTCACAAGTTTAATCTGATTGGTTTCCTTTTGGATCTGCCCAATGCAAAAGGTACTAACAGAGTTTTCAGATGGATGTTATTCACTAACGTGACAATACTGGTCAGCTCACCAACAAAGTTCAGAGTAAGGTCCAATTTTGCAAGAGATTCACAGCCCTCCAAATTTTCTATTCTCTCAATATTATTCAGAGATAAATTTAAATATTCTAGTCTCTTCATTTTATTGATATTTTCTGCAATTTCATAAATAAAAATAATTTTTAAAGAGAAATCTTTAAGCCTCTTGAAGCAATGAGAGATTAATTATATGTATTTGATATTTACCTATTTTTTCTATTAAATTAGAGTGAAAAAGTAAAATTTTCAGGTCACGGCACCAATTTTGAAGGTGTTCTATTTTCTCAATATTTTCTTGATGCAAAGATAATTCTTCTAATGTACATATTTCTCCTTCATTATGTTCACTTTTTTTTCTCACCAATTCTTCGGTAACTTAAAATTCAAAGTTTAAAATTATCGAGTTGTTAGTCACTAGTGGGAAACTAACATGGAGTCGCATAAATTATTTACTACCTACTAGATATATACACAATTCTTAACTTTAAAAACTTACTTCTGACCATCTTCCGTTACTTTTATTACTTCTCACTGTATTCAAAATAGAAAACATTGGCTAATGCCTTCGACCGTATAGGGCAAATCCGCTTGGCAGTGTTGCCTGGCAACCGCTGTACAACGAAGTCCCAAAATTCGCCCGAACGGTAGGAAAATAGTGAATTTTGCTTTCTTATTTAGTTTTGGAACTAGTGTTACAGAATGGCACAGACTTTCCCTTATTAGTATTCTAATTCCTTTGGTCTCGGCTGGCTATACAAACTTGCCATACACTCTTGCCAGCTACCATCAATCGCCGCCGAAAGTACATTTTTTTATTCTTAATTTATCGGTTTCCTAAAAGTAGAACGAAAATACTATCTTAGGAATATTAAAGAACAGTAACATCTCGTCCTAAATGGCAATTTTGTTTGAAAAATTTGGAGAAATTTTTACAAATACAACAGTATTTTCAAATTGCTGGAAATGTGCATATTAACGGCGTGAACGTTCTTAAAAAAATACATTTATGTAATTTTTGGAAGCAAAAAAGAAAAATAATCGAAATTAACTTTGTCACATTTAACACTTCATTTAACACTGTCTATTCAAAACGTTTGAAGAAAAAAAATTAAAACCGTTTTTGAGAAATGATCGTTTCCGAAAATGAGAGATTTTAAGCTAGTTTTCACTGAAAACGGTCGAATTTCGAGAAACTTTATCTGCATTATTTAAAGTTCACGTACTCATAAATATAATAATATGAGCAAATCGCTGCTAATGTAAATATGTACGCCGTGAGAGACAAGTCAAAAAATTGCGTTTTTGTAATATGGGGGGAAGGAGCAAAAGAATACAGCAATATAGAGTTTATGTCATCTTTTAGACTTCATTTAGCACTATCCCTACCAAAAATTTAAAGAAACGATTTGCAGCTGTTTTTGAGAAAATCCTGTATTTTTAATTTTTCTAAATTGCACTTATTGCTCGCAATATTACGCGAAACCTACTAAAATTTTCCAAAAAATGTACATGACCTAAATGTACGTATAACTAACCGTACGTATAGTTTAGGGACTAGTGGTGTTCACAGACTGAAGGACAGACGGACGGACGTTTTGCCGTCAATTGTTTTTTGATATCAAGAACCTACAAACAAAATAGGGATTCTGGCTTCAACACGTGCTAGATGATTTTTTCTTAATTCAGCAACTGGATTTATCCACTTTTTCTTTTTGAGGGCCCAGCAATGAATTTTTTTCTGTCGAAAATCCCCCGTTTTTTCGCGCAGCATTACATAAATTTCCCTACACGTATTTGACTCCGTCTATACGTATGTATATGTGAAAGTGAAAATGACTTTTACCCTCCAGCGTTTGACGAATATGACTGATACCTAGCTAAAAAAGAGTAATTTGTTTTGCTTAAAGCCCGTCCGTAATACATCGCAACGGACCGACGCATCCGTCCAGCTCTACTAGATGGTGTATGGCCATAACTCAGCCAAGACAGTATCGGTAATCTCTGTAAATATAATACGCTAGGGATAAATGACGTTGTTTGGTAATTTGTAAGAAACCAAAGAAAAAAAAATCTTGTATTTGCTACTGATGGTTGGAGAATTACACACCAGTCCTGCATCCAGCTGATTTAACATGAAAAAATACCTTTACAGATTCCAACATACAAAACATTATTGCAAAACATGGGCATAACTAGGAAACGATGCGCCCAATGCCCTTAAAACTAGGTTTTCATGTCCCTGGGAGCCAGTCCAAGGAGCCCTGGGTTTTGCCGGTTTTGCCAGTTTTGGTAAGTTTTGGGTATGTCAGGCTAGTAGTTTTCGCCTCAATTCAAATTGTAGTGAGGAGGATCAAAAGAGCTAGAATATATTCATGTCATTCACAGTGTGCAATACTTCAATGAATCCTTATAAAATTCCGTGAGAAAAAAACATTAATTTATTTTTCTATTGGTGAAAAGATTTGGAAAAAAATTAATTTCGTCGCTTTTTTCTGAAATCACGTATTTAGGTACAACTCTTTACGAGATATTGAATGGAGCAACCCAGACTTCAATACGACTATTAGCTTTGGCTATAAACGTGAAACAAAATTATGCTTAAAACAGAAATTTTGTGAAAAATTTGGAAATAAATTCACTTTGTCGTTTTTATCTGAAAACACTTATCTAGGTAGAACTCTTTACGAGAAATTGAATGGAACAAACTACACTTCCATCTGACTATTAGTTTCGGATATACGCATGAAACTAAATAGTGCCCGAATAAAAAAAAAACTGGTGAAAAAGGAGGCATAAAATTAATTTTGTCGCTTCTCTCTGGAATAACGTATGTAATAAGAACTCTTTATGAGATTAAATTGAGCAAACCAAACTTCAATCCAAATTTTAGGTTCAAAGATACGCCTGAAAAAAATTGTGCCCAAAAGAAGATATCTGGTAAAAAAATAAAGAAATAAAATAAATTTCGTCGTTTCTTTTTAAAACCACTTATTTAAGAAAATCTCTTTTTGAGACATCGAATACAGCCAACAAGCCTTTAACCAGACTATTAATTTCGGTTATATGCGTAAAACAAATTGTGCCAGAATAAAGAAATTCGACCGTTTCACCAAATTTCTTTATTCGGGCACAATTTGTTTCATGCGTATCAACGAAATTATGAGTCGGGTTGAAGTCTAGTTTGCTCCACTCAAATTCTCGTAAAGAGTTCCATCTAAATACGTGATTTCAAAAAGAAGCATCAACATTGTTTTTTTCCCCAAATTTTTCACGAAATTTCTTTATTTGGGCACAATTTGCTACACGCTTATCTCCGAAAGGAAAAAAAAGGATTGAAGTCTGGCATGCTACTCTCATTTTCTCGTAAAGAGTTTTACCTATATTGATGGTTTCAGAATGAAGGAACAAAATTATTTTTTTCCAAATTTTTCACCAAATTTCTTAATTCAGGCACAATTTGTGTTACACGCATCTCCGAAAGTACACGTTGGATTAAAATCTGATTCGCCCCACTCAATTAAACTTCAAGAGATCTATCTACACACGTGGTTTCAGAGCGAAGCAACGAAATTAATTTTTTTCCTCATTTTTCACACTACTTTATTCAGGCACAATTTGTCTCACGCGTATCTCCGAAACTAAAAGGCAGGTTGAAGTCTGGTACGCTCCACTCAATTTCTCGTAAAGAGTTGACCGTACATACACGGTTTGAGAACATATCAACAAAATTAATTTTTTTTTTCAAATATTCCTACCAAATGAATTTATTCGGGGAAAATTTGTTTTACGCGTATCTCCGAAAGTAAAAGTGGATATTTCTCGTCGAGAGCTGTACTCACATACGTGATTTCAGAAAGCAACGACGAAATTTATTTTTTTCCAATTTTTTTCACCAATTTCCTGGATTCGGGCACAATTTTGTTTCACGCATATTTCTTAAAGTAATAGTCGGATTGAAGTCTGGTTTGCTCCATTGAATTTCTCGTCTAGAGATGTACTCACATACGTGAATTTAGAGCGAAGCGACGAAAGTAATATTTTTTCTAATGTTTTCACCAAATTTCTAAATTTGGTCACAATATTGTTTCACGGGTATTTTTTAAAGTAATAGTCGGATTGAAGTATGGTTTGCTCCATTGAATTTCTCGTCTAGAGATGGACTCACAAACGTGATTTCAAAAAGATGCGACAAAATTTACTTTTTTCCAATTTTTTCACCAAATTTCTCATTTCGGGCACAATTTTGTTTCACGCGTATTTCTTAAACTAATAGTCGGATTGATATCTGGTTTGCCCCATTGAAGTTCGCGTCGAGAGCTGTACTCAAATACATGATTTCTGAAAAATGCGACGAAATTAACCTTTTCCCAATTTTTTTACCAAATTTCTGAATTCAGGCACAATATTGTTCCCAGCGCTTTTCTCAAATTAATAGACGCATTGAAATCTGGTTTGCTTTATTGAATTTCTCGTCTAGACGTGTACTCACATAACTTTCGAGCGAAGCGACGAAATTTACTTCTTTCCAAGTTTTTCCCCAAATCCGGAAATTAGGGGAAAAGTTGGAAAAAACCTAACTTCATCGTTTCTTTCTAAAATCACGTATGTAAGTACAACATTCGCCGAAAAATTCAATAGTGAAATGCAGACGTCAATCCGACTATAATTTTCGAAATTATACCCGTAAAATCAAAAAAGGCCCAAATACCAAAATAAGTGGGAAAAATTAGAAAAATCTAATTTCGTAGTTCCTTTCTGAAATCACGTATGTAGGTAACGCTCTCGACGAAAACTTCACTCGTGAAAGGAAGACGTCAGACTACCATTTCCGAAATAATACGCGTGAAATCATATAAGGCCCAAATCCTGAAATCTGTGTTGGGGGAAATTAGAACAAAACAATTTTCTAGTAACTTTCTAAAATAAAGTATGTGTGTACAACTCTCGACGAGAAATTCAATGACGAAAGCAGACTCAATCCCACTAATAGTTTCGAAATTAAACGCTCGAAAACAAATGAAGACCACACCCCAAAATTAGGAAAAAAAAAAGAAAAAACTTAATTTTGTAAAATCTATCTGAAATCACGTATAGAAGTACAACTCTCGACCAGAAATTCGATGATGCAAACCAGGCGTCAATCCCAATATTAGTCTCGAAATTAAACGTTTGAAAACAAATGGAGCCCAACACGCGAAATTCGGGAATAAATTGAAAAAAATTAACTTCGTAGAATCTATGTAAAATCACGTATACAAGTACAACTCGCAACAAGAAATTTCTTGGTGCAAACCAGAGGTCATACCGACTATTAGTTTCGAAATTGAACGCTTTAAAACCAATGAAACCCAAAACCCGAAAGTGGGGAAAAAATGGGGAAAAACGTAATTTCGGATAATCTATCTGAAATACGTATAAGTGTACAACTTTCGACAAGAAATTCAATGATGCAAACCAGATCGCCATCCGACTATTAGTTTCGAAAATACACGCTTAAAAAAAAATAAAGCCCAAAACCCAAAATTGGGGCTAAAAATGAAAAAAAAAATTGTAGAATCAATCTGAAATCACGTATACAAGTACAACTCTCGACGAGAAATTCAAG